CGATTTATTATTTATTATTTTAAAATATCAATAAATTTTTTTAAAGGTTATTACACCCACACTAAACACAATACTCACCACTACCATTACACCACTATTATTTATTTTTTTTTTTCTTTTATTTTTTTAAAATATTATTATTTTTATTATTATTTTTCCTCACACATTATTTTATACTATATTTTTTTATTTTATTTTAAATTTATAAAAGCAAACAATAAAATATATACTAATATTGGTTTTTTATATCTTTTTTTTTTTTTAAAAAAAACAACATAAAATCAACAAACTACAATAATACATAATAACCATAATTAAAACAATAATATAAATAACAATTAAATTTAATATAGAGTTTTAGAGAATATTTTAGATATTTATTAGCAGGAAAGCAAATAATTCAATAGTATATTTAGCAATTATAAAATTTTATTGGATAAAAACAACAAAGCACTTGTCAAGTCTATTATTTATAAATTTTAGCATAACAAACTATAATATTAATCCAAATACATACAAACAACATACATATACACATATATACATATAAATAGAAATGTCAGCCGCTGAAGTAATCAAACTCGTCGTTATTGGTGATGGTGCTGTTGGTAAAACTTGTTTATTAATCTCATATGCCAACAATCGTTTCCCAGAAGATTATATTCCAACTGTATTTGATAACTATGTAGTAAATTTAACAGCTGGTGATAGAAACATAGAACTCGGTTTATGGGATACTGCAGGTCAAGAAGAATACGATAAGTAAGTAAAACAAAAGCAAAAACAAAAACGATGTAAAGAAATATATATTAATAGTTTTCATTCATTTATATAATAAAGATTAAGACCACTCAGTTATGCCAACGCCAATGTATTTTTAATTTGTTTCTCAATTACTAACCCAGTTTCATTCGAAAACGTTTATACAAAAGTAATTATAATAAAAAAAATAAAAAATCGATTTTGTTTCTTTATACTAATATACCTTTTTTTTTTTCTTTATTATAGTGGTACCCAGAAGTTATGCATTTCTGTGCAGATGTTCCACAAATCCTTGTTGGTACCAAATTAGATACCCGTGATGATAGAAATGTTTTAGACAAACTCGCTCAAACTGGTCAAAAACCAATTACTTTCGAACAAGGTAATGATTTAGCTAGAAAAATTAAAGCCATTAAATATTTAGAATGTTCAGCCAAAACTTCATTAAATCTCAAACAAGTATTTGATGAGGCCATTAAATCTGTCCTTTTCATGAAAAAGAAGAAATCAAAATGTACCGTTATGTAAAAAAAAAACTATTTTAAATATTTCCACATTACCACTCCTCCCCTCTATAACTTAAATTCAAACCAGCAAAAACATAATAAAAAAAAAAAATATAATTAAATTATTATAAAAAAAAAAAAACAAAAAAAAAAGAATGAAAAACAATTATTTAATTTTTTTTTACATAAAATATATTTAAATAATAAATAAAAAAAAACAAAAAATAAAAAATCACATTTTTTAAATATTCGTGTGTATATTTTTTTTAATCTAAAAATAAAGTTTTATTTATATCAAAACTAATTAATTTATTAACACACAAAGCACAACACGCGCTTAAATTTTTTTTTTTTTTTTTCAAAAATTAAAAAAATTTTTGAATTTTTTCATTCATTATTTTTTTATTACAAATAGTAATTAATCGTTAAAATATAAAATAAAATGTTATGGATAGATAAATATAAACCATCTTCATTAGATAAGATGGATTACCATAAAGATATATCAGCAAATTTAAAAAATATGGTAAATATTATAATATTATTAAAAAAAATAAAAAAAAACGATTGTCCATTAAAAAAATACTAATGTTAAAGATTTTTAGATTAAAAGTGGTGATTTTCCACATTTATTAGTTTATGGACCATCAGGTGCAGGTAAAAAAACAAGAATTTTAGCAATCTTACAAGAAATCTATGGAGTTAATGTAAATAAATTAAAAATTGACCATAGAACATTTAAACATCCAACAAGTAGCAAGAGTATACAAATTACAACTATCAGTTCACACTATCATATAGAGATTAGTCCAGGAGAGGCGGGATCATACGACCGTGTTGTTATTCAAACCATTATTAAAGAGATTGCACAATCACCACCAATTGAAAATGCAGATTTGGGTCCATTCAAAATTGTAATTTTAAACGAAGTCGACAAACTTTCAAAGGATGCACAACATGCACTTAGAAGAACTATGGAAAAGTATGCGACATTTTGTCGTTTAATTCTTTGTTGTGATAGTACTGCCAAAGTTATTGATCCAATTAAATCAAGATGTCTCGGTATTAGAATACCAGCACCAACCAACGAAGAAATAGAAAAAGTACTCAGTAAAGTTGCTCAATCAGAGAAATTTGAACTACCATCAAAATTATCTCAAAATATTGCAAATCAATGTAATGGTAATCTCAGATATGCCCTTTTATTATTAGAATCTCAAAAAGCAAAACAATACCCTTTCCAATCGAGTGAAATACCACTCTTAGATTGGGAAAATTATATTTCACAAATTGTAAATGACATCTTCCAAGAGCAATCACCTGCTAAACTTTTAGTTATTCGTGCCAAACTTTACGAACTTTTAGGCCATTGTATACCTCCAGATTTAATTTTCAAAACCATATGTTTGGAATTATTTAAAAAGTTAGATCAAGATTTAAAATTTGAAGCAATTCACTGGGCATCTTATTATGTAAATATAATAATAACAATACTATTATTTAATTTTAATAGTTCATTTTTATTAATATTCATTTTTTTATTTTTTATTAATTTAGCAACATAAATCACAACTTGGTTCAAAACCAATTTTCCATTTAGAAGCATTTATTGCAAAGTTTATGAGTATTTATAAAAATCGTCTTCAAAAAAATTAGTATTTTTATCATTTTTTAATTTTTTTTTTGTTAATTAATTTAAAATGAAAATAAAAATAAAAATAAAGATAAAGATAAAATTTTAATACAAACAAATAAAACAGTTAATAATTAAATAATTTTTTCGTATAAAGTCTTTTTTTTTTCCAAATTAAATTCTATTTTTAATTTTTAATTTTTATAAAATGTAAACCAAAATTAATTTTTTTTGAGTTATTATTATGTTTCTATTTTTTTTTTTTTATTATTTTTACAACTCGATTATTTTATTTGTTATTTAATTCAATCATTTTTTTTGTATTTTATATATTTAAATGGTTGTTTTTTAAAATATTGATCAAAAAAATTTAATTTTTTTTAAAAAAAATAGGGTATGAAAAAATTAGAGTAAAATAAATGCCCTGAGGACTTTTGGTTTTTTTTTTTTTTAATTTTTTTTTTTTATAAAAAAAATTTTATTTTTTTTTATTTTTTTTTTATTTTTTATTTTTTTTTGCGGTAGTTTGATTTTTTTTTTTTTTTTCTATTATAACTCTTTTTCCTCTTGATCAGCATCATATAAAATGGACTCAAAGAACGTTGAATTATACACCCCACGTAAGTGGTATGTATCTCTATTTATATTAATATAATGATAATAAATCAATAGGTAATTCTATACAAACTGTTTATTTCAAGAAAAAAATAAATAAATAAATATACAAATATAAAATAATAATAATAAATAAAAAAAACCGTATTCGTTTTTTTATGTGTAAAAAAAAAAAAATATATATTTGTAAAAAAAAAAAAAAAATTGTTATAAATAAATTATCAACAAATTAGAAATAAGGGATAGAAAACAGAAAGAAACACAAGAATATTTTTAGGGTTTATATTTAATCAAATTTATAGAAAAAAAAAAATAGAAATAAAAAAAAAAAGATAGATAAATACAGATATAAAATAAAATTACGTAATTTTTTTTTTTTTTTCAAATTGGTCAACTCAAACATCAATGGCAGCATAAAATCATTGGAATAAATAGTTAGAGTTTCAGTAACAGCACACAATCATTGGTTTTATTATAAAAAATAAATAAACAGTTTCTATGGAATTACCACCAAAAATATTTATATTTTTTTAAATATCAAATTATTAATTATTTTCTTTTAATAATTTATAGCTCAGCCACCAATCGTTTAATCACTGCTAAAGACCACGCCTCTGTCCAAATTAACATTGGTCACGTCAACCAAGAAGGTATCTACACCCGTGAATTCACCACCTTCGCTTTCTGCGGTTTCCTCCGTAACAATGGTCAATCAGATGCTGCCTTAAACAAACTCGCCCAACAAAAAGGTTTCTTAAAATCATTCTAAATTAAATAATAAAATAGTGATATAATAATAAAACCTTATTTTATAAAAAAAAAAAAAATTTAAAAATTTAAAAAAAATATAAAAAAAGTTAAAATATTTAAATGTATCTTATTTCTTTTTTTTATTTGTATTTTTTTAAAAATATATTTATTTTGGTGTAATAATATTATAGTTCTAATGGAATTTTATTTAAATATTTTTATTTTATTTACTTTTGATCTTTATTTTTTTATTGTTATATGTTAGTTTGGGTTAAATAAAGAGATTTAATAATTTGGAAAAAATATATAAAATAAAAATACAGAAAAATGCTTGAATTATAAATGTTTTTCTTGAAAACCTTCTTATTTTTATACGGATTGAAGTGTTGTCAGTTAGTTGATAACCAAGTTTAATGAATAAACCTATTTCATCGTTTGTGATAGGTGCTCTTTCAATAGCGATTGGATTTGACATTAGTTTTTTGTATGGATAGGTCAAGTTGTCAGATTTGCAATTCATTTTAGCATCATGAATTTGTTTTCTTCCTAAATCAGTTAGTGTACCATCGTCACCTCTATTGGGTGATTGTAATAATAATACAGAGTTATTGACACCAATTAGTGATTTATCTTTGCTTGGTACACCATTACTGTTTATATTTTTGTTATTGTCATTGATGATTGTTTCGAATGAAGGTAGTGGGAGATCATAAAATTCGCTTAATAATACTATAAATTCTTGACAATCTTTTTGATTTTGATAGTTCATCTTTTGTTCGATAAGAGCACATAGATTGATTGCACGCTGTTTGGTTTGTTCAGAGAATAAGTTCCTTTCATTTTTAATTGATACTAAATTAAATTCTTTAATTTGATCGTTTAGTTTTACTGTGACTGTATAATGAAAAAAAAAAATAATTAGTATTGTATGATTAAAAAAAAAAAATTTTTGTTTAAAGACTTACACATATCTTTTTTCTTTGATGATAATGAGGTTTGTTGGTCGTATGTTGAGAGTTTTTTAAGTAATGATTTTAAAGTTGGTGAGCTAAAAACTTTTAAAACAAGTTTAAATGTATTTAAAAAGGGTAACACATCGACCATGGTGCTTTTGACAATTAGCAAGCTAAATAGTAGTGAATAGTAATAATAGTGCTCAACGACAAAGTTTTCCCATTTGTTATTGTAGTCATCGTCGTTGGTCAATATATGGTCGGTTGAATGCTGATAGTGGTCAAACAATGATGTTCTGGAGAGTGGTTGTGGTTGTGGCTGGTCTTGTGAAACTATATTCAAAATATTTGTAAGAGAGTTATTCTTTTTTATTTTCCTTCTATCAGCGTCCATTCTATCAGTAGTTCTTGAAATTGGGTCCCATGGTGTGATAAAGTGTAACCAATTGGTAATAAATTTTTCGATTGGTAGTTGTGGGTCACTGAAATCTGCTCTTTCTATAAATGATAAAAAGAAATTAAATATTGTAGATCTTACAATTTCGCGTTGATTAAAATATAGATGAAGTGTTGGTGTAATATCTTGTTGATTATCTAATGGTGTTAAAAAGTCAAAGGAATATGAATATGCTTGATAATAAATAATAAACACTTTCATTGTATCCAAATAAACTCCTGTTGGTTTTTTATACTAAATAGTAAATTATAGTTAGTTTCTTTTCTTTTTTTTTTTTTAACATATAAATTATGTATTGGTTCTTACATTTGATAAAAATCCATATTCAGGATTTAAATTATATGTGTCAAATGTGATTAAATTATGGGAGAACAATGATTCGCAGATGATATTCAAAAAAGTTAGTGATTGTTCGTGTGATACATTGATGGATCTTAAGGGGTCGATAACAATTGATAAGTCTTGGGTTTTTGGGAATGGTAAAAAGTAGTTTAAATAATCGTTTAATAATGTTGCGTAGGCTTTTCTGGTTCTTTCAGATTTTGTTATTTGTAGTTTTTGCATATGAAGGGTGGAGGTTCTACTATTTATATAGCTATTTGATAATGGTGATGTTGATGGGGCTTGTCTGTTATGTGAAAAAGTTGGGATACCATGTATGGTTCTTTGATGTAAAAATGATTTTGGTTCAATTAATGGTATTGTATCTCTACTCTGTATATAGTAAATGAATAAATAGTTAGTAAATCTATAGTTAATTTAATTTAATTGATAATGGAAATTACAATATGATCAGAAAATAAACCAAATGCAAAGAAATAATATTGAAACATATTGACTACAATGTTTTTTTTTCCAAAATCAATATGGTCCATAATTCTTGAGTTGTTTATTGGATCTTTAGTTATCTTTAAGATTGTATTTGATGGTATTCTATCTAATGGGAAATAAAATTGGTGAGTTTGGTCGTCAAAATTACTTGATAATGTTTTAAAGAAATATGAACCAGGTTTAAGTAATCCAATTAATTCTCTAGCTTCTAGATCATCTATACACTTTTTAAAAACTATATCATCGTTTGGTCTAGGTATAAATAAAGGTATTAGAATGTTGTTTTCATAGTAAAATTATTAATAAAACTATCTTACCCTAAAATTTTGGTGATAATTGCAACCCAGTCATTTTGAAACTGATTATTATCTAGAATTTTTTGTAAAACATCTTTAAATTCAAAAAATGTTTCAAACTGAATTGGGTTATATGCTAAAATTTTATTATTGTTTATTTGTGGTTGTGGTTGTTGTGGTTGTTGTTGTTGTTGTTGTTGTTGTTGGGATGGTCTTGTATTAATTAATAATGCCGAATTTGTTAAAAGTGTTTCGGAATTATTTTTTATTTTCGAATCTATATTATTGAAATTGTTATTATTATTATTGTTTATATTTATACTATTATTATTATTATTATTATTCATTTTTTTTTATAAATACAAATTTAATTTTAAACTTGTAAAAAAAAATTGAGTATCACATAAAAATAAAAATAAAAAAAAAAAATAAAAAAAAAGAAAAAAAATAATTTGTAAAAAAAATAATTTAAAAAAAATAATTTGAAAATAATTTGATAAAAAAAAAAAAAATATATAAATAGATATTTAAATATATATTTCCAATAAAATATTAAAGGTAAAGTTATTGTAGGTTTGTTGTTTGTTTATTTGTGCGGTTTATTTAATTTTAGTTATTTTAAAACTTTGTTCCCAAAAGTGACCTTTTCGTGGAATAAAAAAAAAAAAAAAAAAAAATTTTATCGGTAATTTTTTTAAAATTTTTTTTTTGATTTTTTCTTTTATTAAAATTTTTATAATTTAATTATTAAATTACTAAATATATATATTTATTTGTTTATTTATTTATTCATTTTATAAAAATATATATACATATACATAATGGATAGCCACGATGAGGAACCAAAAGATATTGATATAGAAATAAAAAACGAACAACCAGAAAATGAAGAGCAACAAAACCAACAACAGCAAAACGAACAGCAAAATGAAGAACAATTACAGCAAGACCCATCAAAGTAATTATACAGAATATAAGAATAGAAATAGTTAGAAGGTTAAAAGTTTAATTAAATATTAATATTAATGTTTTTTTATATATTATAGTAAAAATGTGATGAGAATTTTAGTTGCAACAGATAATCATTTAGGGTATTTAGAAAGAGATCCAATTAGAGGTGATGACTCATTTAATTCATTTGAAGAAATTTTAAAATATGCACACAGTTTAAAAGTGGATATGGTGTTATTGGGTGGGGATTTGTTTCATGATAATAAACCATCGCGTTCATGTTTATATAGAACTATGGAATTATTTAGAAAGTATTGTTTAGGGGACTCACCAGTTAGAATTCAATTTCTTTCAGATCAAGCTGTAAATTTTTCAAACCAATTTCATACTGTAAATTACGAAGATCCAAATTTTAATATTTCATTGCCAGTATTTTCAATTCATGGTAATCACGATGATCCAACTGGTGAAGGTGGTTTAGCAGCATTAGATTTATTATCAGTTTCAAATTTGGTAAATTATTTTGGTAAAACTGAAGATATAGATGATATTACAGTATACCCGTTATTACTTGGTAAAGGAGAAACTAAAATTGCAATCTATGGTTTGGGCAATATCAGAGATGAAAGATTATATAGAACATTTCAAAAACAATCTGTCAAGCTTATGAGACCATTGGAAAACAAAGATGATTGGTTCAATATTCTGGTATTACATCAAAATAGGGTAGCACACAACCCAAAGAACTATGTACACGAAAAAATGATCGATGGCTTTGTAGATTTTGTATTATGGGGTCACGAACACGAATGCTTAATTAGTCCACAGTCGTCATCAGTAGGAGAGTTCCACATATCTCAGCCTGGTTCATCAGTTGCTACTGCCCTTTCTGAAGGTGAATCCAAAGATAAGTTTGTTGGTTTACTAGAAGTTTATAAGAATCAGTTTCGTTTCAAACCATTTCCATTAAATACAGTTAGACCTTTTATTATGGACAGCATCATTTTATCAGATTCAAAGATTCACCCAACTCAACAAAACCAAATAATTGAATGGATTGAAGAAAAGGTTGAGCAAATGATCACAAAGGCCAAGGAGAAGTTTGAAGGTAAACCAAACGAGAAAATGTTACCATTAATCAGATTAAAAGTAGATTATACAGGTTACAGCACCATCAACCCACAGAAATTTGGACAGCGTTTTTCGGGACGTGTAGCAAATCCCAACGATGTTTTATTGTTCCACAGAAAAAAGACAACAAGTTCAAACAGTAAAACCGGTGATTTTGATGTAAATAAAATTAAGGTTCAAGAGGAAGATAAAATTAAAGTGGGTGATTTCATTTCAGAATTCTTGGGCAATACTCCATCAGACAGGCTTAATATTTTATCAGAACAAGATTTATATACATCACTACATAATTTTGTTGAAAAGGACGAAACAGATTCTTTATTAAAGATGGTGGATTTAACAATCAATTCAACAAGGAAGTACCTCAGTGAAAACATTACAACTAAAGATGCCTACCCAGATTTCATAACCAAATATATAGACGACAATTTCCCATTAAAGAGTAGTGCAGTTTCACCAAATAATATAGGTTTAATGGGTAATGACCCAAATGAATTTGAATCTAATTTATTAGATGAAGACTCACACGGTCATGAACATGGCCACGAACATGGTCATAAACATAATAACAATGATGACAATAGTAATAATAATAGCGATGATGATGGTTTTAATAATGAAAGTGATTTACTTAACCAGAGATCAATATTCAAAACACCACCATCTAACAAAAAGGCACCAAGATCTACCGCTAATACAACCACAACTACACCAAAAAGATCACCAATAAATAAAACACCAACATCAAAAAGGTCATCTACATCATCACAAGCTTCAAACGATTCACAAATTATTAATTTGGACAGCGACGAGGCATCCGATCAAGAAGAAGAGGACATTGTTTCATCAGAAGAAGAAAAGAAAGCAACAAATAAAAGAGGTAAGTCGAAACAAACAACACCAAAAAATACAAAAAAACAAAAAACTAAAAAATAAATGTAAAATAATAAATTATAAGTGTATATACGTATATTTTTTTTTTTTAAATTAAAATTTAAATTTTATTGATTTATTCGGATGACCATTCGGTTTTAATTTTATCTTTATCAATATCTAAACTATATTCCATAACATAGTTTTTGTCAAAATTGGGGGTTACAAATCGCATTGCTGGTATACATTGAATAATATTGGTTGAGGCTTTTGCAATGACTACTAAGAGTAGTCTTTGATATGGTGGTATGGTTCTTATGTAGGATCTGCATTTTTCTGAAATATTGTTTATATCTTCATCTTTGAAAGCTCTAACAATAAAATCTTGATCATCTTCAAGTGGTTCCGAATTAAGTTTTCTAATTGAAAGAGTGAAAGAGTCCATTTTAACTACTTCATTTACATTGATTTTTTTTGGTCGCATAAAGCTTGCCATATTTAGTTGGAACACATAGACGTTTGCAGTGTTATCTTTGTAAATGTATAATCCGTTTGATGTTGTACTTGTGAAATTATTTGAAAGAATTTGGTTCATAAGTTCATCTAGTTTATATTGGTGGAATTGGATGAAATTTTTTGAGAATAAGGAGGCGATTCTATTGATTAATCTTGTTGAGACCCCTTTTGGATAGCTTTCAAAGATTTCGCAGGGTATTCTTAAAACTGGAAGGAAAGGTATATGTTTTTGATTGTTTTTTTGTTTATTGCCAAGTTGTTCTTTGATTAGTTGGCTCAATATATTTTCTATAACATGTTTATTGTGGTCGCTGATGAATCGAATTGCAGTTAATCCATCTAAAATTGGTTCTAAATCTTGTGTTGTTGAGCAGTTTTCAAATTGGTTAATTAACGATCTGTTTAGATTTCTTGTGAATGATAAATCCAAGTTGGTGGGGTCGCTGTAGAAGCCAATTTTTTTACCATTACAAAATGCGGTAATATCATTCTTTGATATTTCTATAAGTGGTCTATAAACAGTGGTGTTTTGGGATAATTTTAACTCTTCTCTTATGCCTGATAGGCCATCTAAACCGCTTTTGCTTGAAACTCTATGTATAAAAGATTCGAATGAGTCGCCTAAATTGGTACCATAGAACACAATGTTTTCTTTATTATCTTCGCTTATGGAAACGAGTGATTTGTATCTTTGGTCACGGAGTTTTTGTTGAAGCCCATTTTTGAATTCTAGAGGTTTTTCATTAAGTGTAATAACTTCATGTGAAAATACCTTGGTCGATCTCCCAATAATCTTCTTTATAATTTTACAAATTTCACCAATATCTTCTGCTTGTACTTTATGATCGAATGTAATAACTCGAACGGTGATTTCTTTTTTTCCTTTTTTTATCCATTGCTTTAATAAATATAATAATAATATACTATCGCTTCCACCTGAACATGATAAAATTACATTTTTATTATTACTTTTTAAAATTTCGTCAAATCTATTAAATACTGTTTTTTCGATATTTTGAATATTTTTTTTTACAGAAGGCGATGCAGTTTTTCTTTTGGTTGCAGTTTTTTTTTGTTTTGGTGTGGGTGGAACTGGAGGTATTGGGATTGGTGTTGGTGTTGGAGGCGATTCTGTAGTTAATTGTGGTTTTTGTTCATGTGGTGATTCTTTTGGTTGATTTTTTCGTTGCTTTTCTTCTTGTTGTTTTTCTTGAGCTAGTTTTAATTGTTTTTGTTGAAATAATTTTAGTTTTTTGTGAACAGTGCAAAAAGTACGCACATTATTATTAAAACTATGTATGGTTTTTGTAAATTTGAATATATTATTCATTGTAATAATAAAAATTTAAAACATTTAAACAAGAAGAAATTTTAAAATGAAAAATAATTTTTTTATTTTTATTTTTTTTTTATTTTTTTTTTTTTTTTAAAATTTTTTTTTTAAATTTTTTTTTTAAAATTTTTTTTTTTTTTTCAAATTTTGATCATCATACACAGCCTTTTTTTTTTTTATTTAATATATATTTTATTTATATAGTTTTTTTTAAAAAAAAAAGATGAATAAATTAGTTGCCATTTTCATTTTGGCTTGTATTTATTTAATTGGTTCATCATCAGCCCTTACTTTACAAATTGAACCAAAATCACAAGAATGTTTCTTCAACTATGTAGAACATGGTAAAAACTCACTCATCTTATATCAAGTTATCAGAGGTGGTTTATTAGATATTAATGTTAAAGTATGTTCAAAATATTTATATACATATTAAATATTAATAGAAATTATAATACAGCATTTAACAATTATAATATGTGGATATATCATTAATAATAATCTTTAATATTACAATTTAATTAATATAGATTACTGACCCAAGAGGTAATTCTATTTTTGAACGTCTTCATTTTGATAATCAAATGAAAGGTAAATACTCATTCACCGCTGGTGAATCTGGTGCTTACAAAGTTTGTTTCAATAATGAAATGTCAAGATTTACCGCTAAAGTTGTTACTTTTTCATGGGATTCTGAAGAAAATGCTGAAAAGGATGCTGCTAAAGGTGGTATGTATAGTAATAATAATTATAATAATAATAATAAATTAAACCCGATAGGGTTAAATTTAAATTATAAATATTAAAATAAATTATTAAAAATAAAAAAACTAATTAACATAAACTATTATCTTTAGATTCAATTACTCCAATGGATCAATCAGTTCAAAAAATTGAAAGAGTTCTCCAATCAGTTATTTATGAACAAAAGAAATTAAGATTCAGAGAACAATCAAATAGAGATACCTCAGAATCAACTAACGCTCGTGTTGTTTGGTGGACTATTGCTGAAGTAGTTGTTTTAGTTGTTATGGCCATTGGTCAAATTTGGTACCTCAGAAAATGGTTCGAAACTAGATCTTCAGGCAGAGTTTAAATAATAATATAATATAAATTTTTAAAAAATAAATTAAAAAAAAAGAAAAACCAAAAGATATGTTGTCATTAATGTGCTTTTTATTTGTTTTTTTTTAAAAAGTTAAATTCATTATTATTTCTTTTATTTCGTTTACTAAATATATCTATAGAAAAAAGTATCAATTGGAATTTTAAAAAAAAAAAAAAAGAAAAGTGGTCAAAAATTTAAGACACATATAAATTATTAATCTAATAAATTAAAATCTTTATTTAATAAATATGTATTGTTTATAGACAATCAATAGATTATCAATTGTATAAACAATAAATAGATAATTTTATTAACTCTATATAAAATATAAAAATGAGCTTATAATTGATAATAATTAAATTGAATTATTTATACTTTGTTAAATATTAATTTAATTATTATAATTGATCATTTTGATTATTAACTTGTGTAAATTGATTATTATTATTATTATTAATTAGATTATTATAATTTGATTATTTAACTTGTGTAAATTGATTATTATTATTATTAATTAGATTATTATAATTTGAATTGTTATTATCTTATTGGTTGATTATTGATTAATAATTTGAAAAGGTGGTTTGGGGTTGATCCGGTTTAGCTACATCACCGCTGTTACCCTAATATATTTGTTCACCTTGAAGGATCATTGTCATAAAATCTTGAGTATATGTTTGAATAATAGATTGTTCTGCACCTACAGTAATAACATTTTTTGATGTGGCTTGAGCTAATAATGACCCGTATTGTCCATAGTTACCAGCAGCTCTTGAAATAATAAAATCTGGGTAGTCATAATGCCGGATAGGAATCACAAGATCTTTTCTTCATCTAAAACCATTCGATGATACCATAGTTGCTTGGCCAGAACAATGTCTGATATTCATCAAATGGTTGATTAGAATGAAACTTCGATCTGATTGCGCGGACTTTTGAACACTAATTGGACGGTCTGTACCTTAATTGGTTTTGAGCATATTTTATAAAACTTTCTTTGGGTCTATTTCTTTATTTGGTGGAACATAATCTATAGTGAGCGGATCCTTTATTTTATCAACCTATTATTTTATTTTATTTTTTTTTATTTTTTTTTATTTTATTTTAAATTGTCAATTGTTTCTAATTTATTTTTTTGACATTCTGAATGATGATTATTTTTTTGATTGACTATAATCATTATTTTTTTTTTTATTTTTTTTTTTTTTTAATTTTACCAATTTTTTTTTTTTTTTTTTTTTTTTAAAATCTAAATATAAAAAAAATTAGTATGATTTTTAAAGAAAATTTTTAAAGTAAATAAAACTTACCCCTATTATCTCTTCTTATAAGAATTAAAAAAATTGCAATCAATACAAAGGAATTCTATATTAAAAAAAATTAGTATGATTTTAATGCAATTTGTTATATAAAGTAAATAAAACTTACGAATGCATGAAACCTCAGCACGAGGTATATAACCATTAACACTTCCACAATTATTGCAAACCAATGGTGATCCACTAGTTGGACCTTCTGAAATTAAAAACTCTATTAGTTTGTCAAACCACTTTTTCTAAAGTAATAAAATAAATAGTTAATATAATAATATCAATCAATAACAAAATTTAAAATTAAACTTACTATTTTGAACACTACTATTTATAATTTGTGGTTGTCTTGGTTGCTGTGGTTGTTGAAGTTGTTGTGGTTTTTGGTTCTCTAGTAAACCCCTATTATTACACTCTAAAAAAATAGTTAGACAAAATATAACTACTATTATAATATTTATTAATACTATCTGATACCTACTCATTTTTTTTAATAAATTTTCATATTTTACAATTTTTTCATAATTGGTTTCCAATTTTTTATCATTTAATACTTTTTCCAAACCAATTAATAATTTTTTTAATCTATATTCATAGATTTTTATTAAAGAATAAAATAAAAATCTATAACCTTTAGCTACAATAAAGGATCTAAAATGATAATATAAATGTTAATACCAATATTATTTAAAAAATAATATATATTGAAAATGAACAACTTACAAAAATGAGAATAATAAACATAAAGCATACCACCATGTATTCTCATAAAAGGTGTAGCATGTAAAAGATCTATATATTGAAATTAATACTAGGATAATTTCAATAAAAAGGCTAATGAAAACAAAATTCCAAAAAATTCTATTATGAAACTCCTTGGCATTTTCTATTTGAGTTTCAATTTTGGAAATCTTGGATTCAATTTCTGAAAATTTTTCCCAAGAGTTATTCTGAATACAAATAAAATTATAGTTAATATTTATTTCTTTTTTTTTCAATATAATTTATATAAGAGATACTTACTTTATTGGAAAAAAATTTTACCATTTTTTAATATATATACAAATAGATAAAATATAAAATAAATATATATATAAATATGAAAAATTATTTACAAAAAAAAAAAAAAATATTTACAAACAGATATATAAAAGACTATTTACAAAAAAAAAATATTTGAAATTAAAAAATATTATAAAAAGCAAAAAAAAAAAGATGATTATGTGTGACAGAATACGAAAAAAATAATATGTGTGGCTGAATATAGAAAAAAATTTTTAAAGAAAAATAAAAATTTAATAAAATTTTAAATTATGACCCCATGAAATTTAAAAAAATTTTAAAAAAAAATAAAAAAAAAATTAAAAAAAATAATTTAATAAAATTGAATTTAACATTTTTTTTAATAAAAAAAAATTTTTAAAAAAAAAAAAAAATTTTCAATGCATATCAAAATTTTTAAAAAAAAAAAAAAATTATTTATTTATTTAGTATTTTTTTTTATTTATATTGATTTATTGATTTTTTGCTTAATGATTCAGCAGCTTGTGATCAAGTGATATATGAGATTTTATTTAATTTGAAAAGAGTTAACTTTAAAAAAAAATCTGTTGTTTACTAATTATTTTAAGGCAACATTAATATTCATTATCATTATTGTTATTATAAATTATTTTATTATAAATTTTAAATGATACTTACTGAATAGTGAATGAAGTGATACCTTTTTTATGAATTTGTAAACGGTGAATAGAACTACCAATTTTTAATTTCATGAATTGTGGGGTAGAGTTCCATAGACCAATCGTGAATCTTGAGATCTTCTTGTTTTCCATAAGCAACACGAATCATATGTTTCACAAGATCTTTATTGATTTCTTCAGTAATTGGATGTTCTACTTGAAGACCAGTGTTCATGCACCACCGACCATAAGTGAAGCTTTAAGATTTTCCTCATTTCAGTGTCTAAAATGAAAATTTACAAGAAAAAGCACACTTCAAAAATTTACATAAAATTGCCGTGATAGTATAGTGGTAGTACATAGCATTGTGGCTGCTTTGACCCTGGTTCGATTCCAGGTCGCGGCATCTTTTAATTTTTTGTTATCTTTCCTGTGATAATGCTGGCAAATGGGGTTATTATATTGATTGGCATACATCTCCGTCTTTTCATTTGATTTGCTACACCTGATTTCTATTTCAGTTCTGTACACTAGTCTATTTTTTATCTTCACTTTTAAAAAAAAAAAACTAGTCTATTTCACCTAAATGCACTTCTTATTTTGCATAGTTTTAGCCAATTTCTAACACCTGGTTAATTCCTTAACTACAATTGATTGCACACAGGCAATATCCTTCAATTTAGCTTCTTATTAGTAATTAACTTCTACTCCTAACGCTACGTGAGTTTTCTTGATTCCATCAGAATCAACCTGTTTCGACATGAGCACCCTTGATTCATCAAACTATACTTGCTTACTTTCGAACCCTCGGTAATACTAGTTCCATTGCTGTACCTTTATACATTGGACACCCTACCTCCTTTTGGATATTATCTGATTCTACCTTCATAACTGCAATATATTCGACTTCCGAATCAGCTCGAACAATTGATATTAATTAATTAATAAAAAAAATTTTTTTACTATCACCATAACTACCATAGCTTTACTACTCTTACCGAATTAATGCAAACCCAAAGGTTTTTGTTAAGAACAGTAAGATCGTAAAAAAAGTGTAATGTAAATGGAGCCACTTTAGTTATAGATAAATAATAAATATAAATAATTCTAAAAATCAAATAAATAAATTGAAAAAATTTTATTTTTAAATTTTTCAATTTTTTATTTTTATTTTATTTTTAATTTTAAAAAATAAATTATTTAAAATAAAGGAAAATATATTATTTAGTTGAGATATAATTATAACTGTAATATTCATTTAATTCTAAAATGCATATTAATTCATTACAATTATTAAAAAAGAATACCACCACAAAAAGTAACCCTAATCGAAATATTAGTCAAATATCCACACCAATCAAAACCACTCGGTACCAATCAATTAAGATGATTTTTAATTAAAACCACAGGTATTTTACCATAGAAATTTAAAAAATAATTTTTTTATTTAAATGTGTGTATTCATATACATTTTAGAATTAAATTAAAATTAGTTTATTGTTTATTATCTTCAATATTATTTTGATTTTGATTTTGATTTTGATTTTGATTTTGATTTTGATTTTGATTTTGATTTTGATTTTGATTTTGATTTTGATTTTGATTTTGATTTTGCTCTAATTGTTGTTTTTGAATTAATTCTAATTTTAATTGTAAAAGTTTTGAAATATTTTCAAGTTTATTTCTTTCTTTGGCATCTTCTAACCATTTTGAAGTATATTGAGAGAGCTCTTTATGGGTTTCGTTAAGGGTTTCCATTTCTTTTATAGCCTTGGTAAGATCGCCTCTTCTGAGATATTCTTCGGTACGTGCTAAAATAGCATCAGGCTCACTACCTATGACCATACCAATTTCTGGAATAATTAATGAAGATCCAATTAATCTAAAGATTGAACCTAGAAAACTTTTATCTTCTGATGGTACCAAAGAAACTTTTCTGACTTGTTGAGAGATTGATTTAAAATCTTGACAAAGCTTTTCAAAGTTTATGACACCATTGCTGCTGAAATCTTTTGGTAGGGTATTTAAAAGTTCCTTGATCAACTCATCATATTGTGAGAGATCGGTGAGATTATTGAATGATCTTTGGACCAATTTACCTTGGGCTGATGCATCTCTTAAAAGCTTTTCAATATCAACGATCAACTGAGTTAATTGTGTAACGGCTCTCTTTTCGACTTCGCTCTTTTTGATGGCTTCGGCCTGTTTGTTATAAATATTAATTAAATTTTCTTTTTGTCTTTCTAATGTATCTTTAACTAATTTTTGATTTTCACCAACATTCTCTTGAATATATTTATCCATATCTTTTAACTTTTCACCAATGTCACCATGTAATAAATCGACTGTTGCATCCAATGCTACTTTATATCTATCTTTAATAAAATCTTCAAATGATTTAATATATTCATCTTTATTTACATTGATTTTTTCTAGTTCTTCTTTTAATTTTGTCTAAATAAAAATAAAAATTGATTAATATAATTAATTAATTTAATTATTATTATTATTATAATTTAAGGTATATTTACATTTTCGTTAATTATTGATTTTGCCATTTCGTGATATTGCTTTTCTAAAAGCTTAACAATGTCCTCAGCTTTTTCATCACCATTTAATTTAATTGGAACCAATGAAAGAACATCTTGAATAATTTCATTAATAATATTTTCTGGATCAGTTTCTTTTGATACAACACCTTCAAAACTATTTGGTTCTTGATTATGTGATGAATTTGTAGACTCTACTTTAATATCATCTTCGTTGTCGTTCTTCTTTTCTTCGACAATTGTGATATATTCAACTTTTGGTAGCTCTTGTTTTTGCTCTCCCTCTTGTTGTTCATTTTTTTCATGTTCTTTAATTTCTTCGGTAACAACTGCAAAAAACTCTTTACCAATTGAATCATCCTCATCATTGTTATCTTTTAATGCATCTTCTAGATTATCCATTTCTGCCTCCTCAGAGTTAATTTCATCATATGATTCTGTACTTGAGTGACCATAACCCAATGATTTCTTTTCTTCATTATTTACATTTTCTTTTTGGTGTTCGATTTCAGCTTCTTCTTCTTTGGGTTTCTCTACTATAACTACAGCAATAGGTTCGAGTTCGAGCTCTGGTTCTTTATTTTCTTGCTTTTCTTCCTGTTGTTGCTTTTCTTCTTGTTGTTCTTGTTGTTGTTGTTTTTCTTCTTGTTCGTGATGTGGTGAATTCTTTAACTCTTCTTGTCTTTTTTTCATATCTCTCATTAAGATTTTAAATTTTTCAACCTCTTCTTTTTGATATGGCAATTTACTTGAAAATAAGGCATCCTCATTGTCACGTAGATAATATAAATATGAACCTGCTGCAACTACTAAACCAAGTGCTAAAATTGATTTGAATCCAAAACCACTCTTTGGTTCTTCTGGTTTGTCATCTTTCATACTAAAAGAGGAATAACTTCTTTTTTGTTCATAGTTGAATTTAAATCTGTTATTATTTAATCTATTAACCGAGTTTTGTTTATATATTGACTGTATAACACCTTTCCCATTTTTTAATTTTAAGTAATTCATTTTTAATTTATTATTATTTATTTGAAGAAAAATAAATGAACTTGTAAAAATAAAATAAAAAAATAAAATAAAATAAAAAAAATAAAAAAAAATGAAAATAAATAAAAAAATTAAAAAAAAAAAAAAATAAAATAAAAATGAAAATAAAAAAAAATAATGAATTATTAAAAAATAAATATAAATACCCCCGAGAACCAAATATAGGAATACAAACGAGAAAAAAGAAAAAAAATCTTTAAAAGAGATAAAACACAACTAACTTCTTTTTATAATGATTTTATTATAAAAAAGAATACTCTGTGTTTGAAATAAAAAAAAAAAGTACTGAGGAATTTTATTTAATGGATTATTATAAATTTTAAAAAAACGTGTTTTTGGGTAAATTTTATTTAATAATAATTATCCCATTTTGAAATTAAATAACTTTAAAGCTACAATTTTGTTTATATCAGTTAAAAAAATTTTAAAAATTTTAAAAAAAATATTTTTTTTTTTTTTTTTTTTTTTCATTTTTTTCAAATTTTTTTTTTATTTTTTTCATTTTTTTTTTTTTTTTTTTTTATTTTATTTTATTTTTTTTTATTTTCAAATAGAGTTTATACACATATACATATACCCATTAAAAGAAAATATATCAGTTTAAAATAAAAAAAACATTGTTTAATTAGGTTTTTAAAATTATTATAATTAAACTCTCAGTTTTTTATATATTATATTTATATTTTTTCGTTTTATTTGTTTTTATTTTATTTAAATAATAAAACATACACCTAAAGTAATAATATAAAATAAATAACAACATCGATACACTATATAAATAATAGTTATAAATCTTTTGTTTTTTTTTTTAAATTTGATCATGTATGTTTCACATTAAAGCAAATTAATTAAAAACAACAACAGCAACAACAACAACACAACATATCACCACCGCCACCACCACAACAACAACAGCAACAACAAAAGCAAAATACCTTATCGACTTTTTTAACTAAAAGAGCAGTTCAAACTATTAAATAATCAAGCTAATAGGTAAGTGGCTATAATATTACTATTAACATTGCAGTAGACAATTTCGTTTTTATATTAATTCTTTTTAAATAATTTTAATAGTAGTATAAATATAAAATCAAAATGAGTACAGAGGAAAAGAAAAGTAGAAAATCAGTAGCAAGAAGAGCATTACCAAAAAATATATTAGAGTCACCACTAATAAGTAGTGCCGATCCAGTTGGTACTACAAATACAGCACCTTCACCAGTTGCTTTGTTTAAAAATTTAGATTTCTCATTGTTTGGAAGTATTAAATCAGAACCACAATCAAACTCAACAGTCACAACCTCTACCAGTACAACTACCACAACCACCACTACAATTACTACAACATCGAATGGAGTACCACCAATAAACTCACCAAATACAATACCTGCAATACAAGAAACCAACTCTAACAATCATAATAACACAAGTTTAAGTAAACCAAATACACCACACACAAAATCCGAAAATAATATAACAAATAAAGATTCAAATCATCTTCCAAAAATATCGCTTGAAGATGATTCACCAATAATACAACCATCCTCAATAAATGGTATTACCGATAATAGAGAAGATACGCATCACGACAATAGTAGCAGCAGTATTACGAACAATAAAATTAAACAAGAAAAACCAGAAATTATTAAAACAGCTAGGCAACTAGAGAAAGAAAAACAAGAAAAAGAAAAGTTAGAAAAAGAGAAATTAGAAAAGGAAAGATTAGAAAAAGAAAGACAAGAAAATGAAAGAAAAGAAAAAGAGAAACAAGAACAAGAAAAAGAAAAGCAAGAGTCTATTGAGGAACCTCCACAGCCTACCGAGAAATCATCAAAAAGATCATCATCATCATCAACATCATCATTATCATCAACCATCTCACCAACTACAAATTCAGCAGCTTCAACCACATCGACTATTGGTACTCCAAGAAAAGGTTTTGCTAAAGGCAAAGGCAAACCAGCAGCACAACAACCACTATCACAAACAGAACCGTTAGCAAAAGATAAGCATTCAGAAACTAAAGAAATAATACAAAAGCCAACATCAAAGAAAGCAGCAATCGAAAAGAAATCGACTATAGATGACGAAGAAGAGGAAGACGATGAAGAGGGCGAAGAAGAGGACGACGAGGAAGAAGAGTCTGTAATTAGATGTATTTGTAATAACAATGTAGATCATGGTCTTATGGTTCAATGTGAAACTTGTGATAAATGGCAACATAGTATTTGTTATGGCATCAAGCAAGAAAGTAATTTACCAAAACATTTTTATTGTGAATTATGTGAAAATAAGACTATGGATTGTGTTTGTGGCAAGAAAGAATCCAATGTAAAGATAATTCAATGTTTATCCTGTAATAATTGGAGTCACCTTACATGTGTATCAAAGAATCTTAGAGATATACCAGATCCATTCACATGTGCAACTTGTGAAAAATCTGATAATTTAGAAAATAATCTTATCGACTCCGAAGAGACTCGTGCTACACCAAATAAACCAGGAAAGAAAAGAAAATCAATTAATTCTATGGGTAATAGGAGAAAGAAACCAAATGTATCAAGTACACCAGCCTCACCAGTTGCAGTTGGCAAAAAGCCACCATCGACTCCATCCACCACTCCACCAATGTCTGATGAATCATTAGAATCAATTTTAAGCTCAAACAATAATAGCGCAACAACTCCAACTCAATCATCCACCACTTTAACAACTACTTTATTATCTTCATCATCTACTCAATCATCAAGCACACCAAAAATTAAATCAGACTCACTCTTTGATGACCAACAGGTTACAGCAGATAGTGGTAAAAACACACCAATTTTAGAAGCAGATTCACAAAATGGCCCACCATCATTATTAAAAGATTTTGACCAAAACAGCAAAGATATGAAATTTATTGAGGATTTACTTTCAGTAGATTCTATTGCTTCAACCCTAAACTCAATTCCTGAAGAATCAGAATCACCTTATTTAGAACAAGCATTAGAACTATTTTCATTTTTGGATTTAAATTTAATTAAAAGTGATTTAATTGTAAGTTTTTATTTTATTTTATTTTCTTTTTTAAATTTTACAATAATTCTAATTTTTTTTCATTTTTTAACAGGATGATTATTGCAAAAGAAAATATAATTTAAGTGATGAAAAATATAAACAAGATATGAAATTATCAAAACAATGTATAAATAACCTTACAATAGACGACAATATATTATTCCAAAAGTATTGCTTATTATTTATTGAAGTACCAGTTAAACAAAAGAACAATTTAAAGAAAGCAATTTCAGTTTTATTAGAAATACCAGAGGAAAAAACCAATCAATACATGATCCAATTTGCACACGAGCTTTCAAACCAAATCAAAGATGACAACAGCAAACTTTCAACTACACCAATTAAAATTGAAAATAACGAAGAGCAACAACCTGAAAACAATTTACATTCACCAAATTCAGATAGTGGCTCAGAAGATGAAATGGAAATTGATGAAGAGGATACATTAGTATGGTCTAAAGTTGGCTTAGAGAATAGTTTCGATAAAGATTTTATAGTACCAAATGATATTCCAAAGTCTCTTACATATAATGAAGCCCAATATGAAAAAGCTGGCACCGATAGAATAATATTGGGTAAATTTAGAACAAAAAACAAAAAATTCAAACATCCACCACAAGATCAACACCAACAAGAGCAACAAAAAAAATCAAATGATCAATTATCATCAGAGCAAATTCAAAAAACTATATTATCCAAGTATGATCAAGATATGAATAATTTTATTGGAGAATGTACAGGTTTATTCCAAAATTATTTCTCATCGATAAAGAGTGAATGGGCTAACCCAAATAGTTTTCTCTTAAATACAATCAACTCAAATATATTTTTATTTAATACAACTTATCAATCATTAAATGGTACTAAAAATTTAAAACACGTATATAGTCCAAAAGAAAAAGATCTCTGTATAGATTCTAGATCTGGTTCAATTTGTAAATTTATAAGAAGATCATGTTTACCAAATTCAAATATAGTATTTTCAAATAATAATAATAATAATAATAATAATAATAATAATAGTTTTAAAGCATCAATTTTTAATTTATATAGTTTAGAAAAAAATCAAGAGGTTACAATTGACTTTGATTATCCATTTAAATGTTTAAAAAATAGAATTTATTGTCCCTGTGGAACTTCAACATGTTCTGTCTCGATTTGGTTTAATGAAAGAGCTTCATTAGGTATAAAAATGTTAGAGATGTTGGGTGAAACAGTTGATCCAAATTTAAAGAAACGATCACTCGAAGAAAGTTCTTCAAATGCTACTTCAAACTCCAAAGGTACTACTGGAAAGAGAAAGAGGAGACCAAAATCATTAGCTTTAGAAATGGATCCAATATTTTTACAAGGTGCTACTGTAGATAGATCATTAAGGGAGGAAAGAAAATTGCAAGCTATCATTCAAAATATTGAACAATTAGAAAAGAAAGAAAAAGAAAAGAATAGAAAACAACAAGCACAACAACAAACACAACAAAATAATTCAAACGAAAACTCACCATCTTTAACCTCAACTGTAAATAGCTCACCCAAATCAACAAATAAAAAGAAGAAAATTAAATCTGAAAGCGATAATGATATTGATATGGTCGATATATCAAAATCAAAGCAAATCACCCAAAATGGTTTATCACCAATTTTACAATCATCATCATTAAAAGAAAAAGAAATATCTTCTTCTTCCTCATCATCATCTTCACCAACATTAACAACAACTACTACAACAACAACTACAACGACAACAACAACCAATAATACCACATCAGAAGATGAACACAGCAAATCTAAATTCCTTGGAAAAAAAGCATGGCTTCAAGAGTTTAAACAAAAAGAAAAAGACCTACCTAGTATCAAAGAAGAAGAAGGAAGAATTCTAACAGATAACGATAGCGACAGTTTACAAGAAGAGGAGGGCTCAATTCCAAATGATGAACTTCCAACAACTCCATCCATTAGAGGTGTTTCTCCTAAATCAGATCATCATCATTCAGACCAACAAATGTCATTATCCAAATCATCATCAGGTTATCAACACGATAGAGATCAAAGACATAGTAATTATACTCCATCACACTCTCCAACCCAATCACCATCAATGAAAGGTGGATTATCATTCCGTGACCCAATCGACCAACCATATCGTTTATCACGTGAAAGAAGCGGTGAGCTAGGTGGAAGCGGTAATAACTTGAGGGAAAGCAATCGTGATTTACCAGTCAGAGATGGAAATCGTGGTGATAGAGAAAACTGGAACGATAGAAGAGGCAATGAACATATGAGAGAAAACTGGCAACTATACAACGACAGAGAGGGCAACTTTGATAGAAGATTCGGTAGTGGTGGTAATAATAGAGGTTTTAAAGACGATCATTGGGATAGTCCTCATAGAAAAAGTGGTTGGGATTCAAGTTTAAGATTATATAACAACGATAAAAATAGAATACCATACAACGAGAGAGGTAACCCAATTGATAAAAGTGGTTGGGATAGAAGACCTGTTAATAGCGGTAGTTATCCAAGAAATGGTTTCTCACCAACCTTATCATCCTATCATGACGACTATGATATGGATGGTAATGAAGGTAAACCAAATGCCCCAAATACCCCATCATCCTCAACCAAATCACCTCAGCTCAACGATTCTTTCAATAAATACAATAACTTTTATAACAATCAAAGAAATTCAAACTATCAACAAAATAGATCAGGTAATTCACCAACTCTTTCTGATGATTATGAAGGTCAGCAATGGAACAGAAATAAACCCTATTTTGTAAGTTCTCAACATAAAAATATTTATAAAAAAAAACATTTCTAAAAAGAAATTAAAAAATTAAATATTAATATTTTCTTTTATTTTTATAAAAATTAGAATAAAAGAAGATAATTTATTTATTAAAAAAAATAAAAAAAAAGAAAAAGAAAAAAAAAATTGAAAAGAAAAAACAAAAAAAGCAGCAACAACATTTAAATAAATAATAATAGTATTAATAATTTATAATGACAATTTCAGCAATATAAAAATCAAACAAAAAATTTAGAAAATAAAATCAAACCAATATATTGTATATAAGTTTTTTATATATACATATTGTATTAAATATATATTTATTTATGTAATATTTAAATATTTAAATATTTAATATTTTATATTTTATATTTTATTTTATTTTTATTTTATTTTATTTTATTTTATTTTATTTTATATTTTTTTATTTTTTAATTTTTTTTTTATTTTATATATTTTTTAATTTTATTTTATTTTTGCCGAAAAAGGCGTGATAGTTATGACATTTTATTTTTATTTATAGTTAAATAAATATAACTATTAAACTATTATTTATTTTTTTTGTAAAAAAAAAAAAATAAAAAAAAAACGCATGTAATTATTTTGCAGAAAATATAGCCAAAAATGTTAAATGTCGAAAAAAGAAATGTGGTGCTATCACCGCCAGTTAATTGGGAGCTGGATATCAGAGCAAAAAGAGATCTTTTAAGGTCTAAAGAGTGCCTTCATTTCATTTGTAATAACAATAATAATAATGATAGTATTATAGATAATAACAGCAGTATTAGTAATAACAATTTAAATGATATTATATCACATGTATTCGATAATATAATTTTATTAAATAGTAGTTTCACTAGTAGTGATGCTTTAAATAAAAAAGATTATTTATCAAATATTTTCAATTACGAACTGGACAATGATACTACACAAAATGATAATAGCATAAATAAAAATAGTTTAAAACAATATATACAAGTAGATAATTATTTAATACTGTGGAACTCCTCAGAAGTTATAACAAACTATTGTTATTGTCTTTATAGATTGTCAAATATAACAGAATTTGGATTAGAGTGCCCAGTACAGTATATATTGTTGGTTTCAGGTCCATCTTTAGTTAAACAGAGCAAATCGTGTGAACAGGTTGCAAAGTCATTCTCTTATTCGTTAAAGTACCCACTTGTTCAATATCATCTAAACAATTCAAAGAGTACGGAAGAGGTGGTTAAGGTGTTTGAAGATTTTGCCAATGGTTCTCTAAATATAGATAATAGTAATAATAAAAATAATAATAATAATAATATAGAAAACAGTGGTGTTATTGAATTACCATTAATCAATAATCAATCTACAAATGAGCAAGAAACTGAAGCTGGATCAATTAAAGAAAATAAACCGTTTGCAATAGAGTTTAAAGAGTTTTTATGGTCTCTAGTATTTGGGTATAAATATATCATTCAAGATATACAAAAGAGATACCCAGACTATTGGAATGACTGGGCAGATGGTTTTAGTTCAGGGAAAGCATTTTCAAAAACCCTATCTACGTCTGTGTTCTTATTTTTTGCGGTACTTTTGCCATCTATTGCTTTTGGTGTATTGAATCAGTCAAATACGGATGGAAAATTTAGTGTAGCTAAAACCATCATATCTCAGGGTTGTGGTGGCATGGTATTTGCGTTGCTTTCGGGGCAGCCTATGGTAGTACTTTTATCGACAGCACCATTAGCAATTTTTATCAAGATCACCTATTCAATATCGAGCGATAACAATTTAGATTTCTGGAGCCTCTATGCAATGATTGGTTTGTTTAATGGTATTTTCTTAATAATCTATTCAGTTTTGGGTCTAAGTAGATTAATGAAATACTCTTCAAGATTTATCGAAGAAACCTTTGCTGTGTTTATTACGATAGCCTTTCTTTATGATGGTATCAAACCAATTGTAGAGTTATTCATCGACTATCTTTATGATTGTGGTGATCCTGGATGCACTCAGAGCCACATTCCCATTTTTGCCCTATTACTCTCGCTTACAACCCTCTGGTTATGCTTCAAGCTTTCCAATTTTGGTTTTTCTCAGTTCTTCAACAGTACAGTTAGAAATGTTATATCTGATTATGCGTTATTCATTGGTGTTATCCTTTCGACATTCATTAGATACACTATTTTCTTACCATTGGACTATGAAGAATTTCCACACGATCTAGATAACCTGTTACATACTGAAATTCATTCTTTACCAGTCTGGAGTTACTTTTTAGCATTAGGTTTGGGTTTCCTTTTATCTCTTCTCTACTTTGTTGACCAAAATATTTCCAGTTCACTCGCCACAGCACCATCTCATAATTTAAAACGTTGGTCTGGTATGCATTTGGATTTATTTTTGGTTGCAATCATTAATATTGTATTATCATTTTTGGGTTTACCATGGGTTCACGGTGCATTACCTCATAGTTCTTGTATGTATAGTAATAATTAATAATAGTATTTATGTACTATGTAATATAATAGTTATTAATTAATCCATTTTTTATCTTTTTAGTGCATGTTAGAGCACTTGCTAATATTCAAACAATATTTTATAAGGATCACACAAAAGAGATCTTTATTTCAGTACAAGAAACCAGAGCAAGTGGGTTTATTTCGCATTTGCTTACATTTATTTGCATATTTTTGGTATCAAACGTACTCAAACTCATTCCTATTCCGGTGCTCTATGGTGTGTTTTGGTTTTTAGGTGTTAAAGCTTTAGTTGGTAATCAATTTTGGGATAGAATATTATTATTAATTACTGATCAAAACCTACATCCCCACTCAACAAGATCAAGATGCATAAAACAATCACATGTTCACCTATTCACATTAGTCCAAATAATCTGTTTATTAGTTTTCTGCTTCATCTCCTTTTATCCCAACCCATACCTCACTATTTTCTTCCCACTTTTCCTTACTATTTTAATTCCATTAAAAAACTATTTATTCCCAAAACTTTTCTCTAAAAATATAATTAATATACTGGATCATCACTAGAATTATTATTTAAAAAAATAGAAATAAATAAATTTGGTATAGTGGTAATTTAGTATTTATTAATAATCATATTTATAATAAAAATAATCATCACTATAGCTTTTAGATATCTGTGGTGTTTTTAAAATAAATTATATATAATGTTTATTCCAAAAACCCACACATCTATATGTATTACTAAATATTATTTTTTTTTAAATTTTTTTTCTTTTGGTTTTTTTTTGGTTTTTCATATGAAAATGACTCGTTGATTCTTATCAGACTAAAAGACAACTGGTTATGAATAATAATTATAACAATTTAAGTATTGTACCAATTAAGTTCTATTTGTTTCCATAGAATATTCCGTTTACAGATTATTTTTTAATTTTTTTTTTAATTTTTTTTTTTATAATTTTTATTTTTTTAAAAATTAAATTTTTTTTTTTTTTTATTTTTTTTCATTTTTTTTTTTATTATTTTTTGAAAAATCTATTTTTTTTAAAAAAAAAAAAAACCATGTTTTCAAATAAATTATTAAGAGTTTCACTCAGCTCATTAAAGTGTAATAACTTGTTTTTAAATTATAACAACAGCAGAAAATCTGTTTTTCAAAATAAAGGTAGATATTATTTTATTTATTATATAAACAATTTGTTTTTTTTTTTATTTAATAATAAAATTTTGAAATCATATTAATTAATATAAAGAATGAAATCTGAAAATATTAAAATTTTAACTATTGCTGCCTCTCTTGGTTTATCAGTTGCTGTCACTGCTTTTTTATTTAGATACTATTCAGGTCAAAATAATTTATCATCATTCGATACAAAAGAAAGTACCACTACTACTACCTCCACTACTAATGCACCAACTACTACTACCTCCACTACTAGTAGCGCTCCATCCACTACCACTGTAGCTGAAAAGAAACCAATCATTATTGATATTGAAGAAATGAATGCTAAATGTGGTTTTTGCAGGTAATTTATTGTTTATATTTATTAAAATTAAAATAAAGTTAAATTCTAATAGTTTTTTTTTTTTTTAAAAAATAGACCAGAAATGACTGATGTTAATAGAAAATCACCAAATAATTCAATTCATACATATTCAAGACACTTCTTTATGTGTACAGGTATTCCATCAGAAGAATGGCCATCAAAATTATATACAGCCACACCATATTTAGAACAATTTGCAGCAGTTTTCAAAAATAATGGTGAAAACCCAAAAAGCCCATTCGTCATTAATGGTACCGATATTGCACCAACTCAAAAAGATACCCTTGATATCATTATTTTCCCAGAAATGGTTAAATTAGTTAATATCACTCCAGAACAAATGGAACAAGTATTGAAATACTTTTTAGATCACGACACCATCGATTCAGATTTCCCATCATCAGTTCAATTAGAATCCATCAAAGGTAAATACATCTTTGTTTGCACCCACAAACAAAAAGATGAACGTTGTGGTTACTGTGGCCCAATTTTAGTTGATCAATTAAAAGAAGAAATCAAAAACAAAGGTTTAGAAAATGACATTCAAGTATTTGGTACTTCTCATGTTGGTGGTCACAAATATGCTGGTAATCTTTTAATCTTCCCACCAGGAAATTGGTATGGTTATGTCACTCCACAAGATGTCAGTGCTATGGTCGACTCCGCTATCTCTGGTGAAGTAGTCCAAAGATTAAGCAGAGGTACCATGGGTCTCAATTATGATAAAAATTAAATTACCATATATTTAATTTAATAATTATCATAATATTAAACACATCACGCGATGTAATAATAATTGATTTTTTAAAATAAAATTTTTTCCAATTATATTTACACTCAAACAATAATCAGTATCTAATTTTTTTTCTTTTTATATTAACGGTGTTTTTTTGTTATATTCCAATTTTTAATTTTCTTTTTGTGTTAAACTTTTTTTTTTAAAATGATAGAAAAGATAGAGTTTTAATCAATATTTAGTCCTGGATGATATGATTAAACACCAAATGGGAGATAGTTTAAATCAGACTTTGGTTCTCTTCCTTTGTTAAAATTTCTTGATTTTAAAGAAACAAGTCCAAATAAAAGAGTGGGTTAGTAGTACACAGATGATCCGGGTCCAAATGAGGTTTCAGAGTAGATTTGAAGTATTTAAAAAAAAAAAAAACTTTTTAAAAGAATGGTTTAAATTTTCAATAATTATACAAATTAAATAAAAGGGCAATTTTAATTAAAAATTCAAATAATTTTTGATTTCAAATAATTTTTTTTTTTTTTTTTCATTTAATACTAATCCACATATCTTTAATAATAGATTATTTATTTTGGTTTTTTTTTTCTCTTTTTTAGATTTATTTTTTATTTAATTTTTTTTTTTAAAAAAATATTTTAATTTTTTAAAAGATCAATAAAAGAATTCATTTGAAAAAAACCAAAAAAAGAAAAAAAAAAATGAAAAAAATAGAAAAAATAAATAAATAAATTAAAATAATTTCCATTTCGAGATCTTAAAATTTTTTTTTTTTTTTTTTTTTTTAAATAATTTTTATAAATATAAATAAATTTTTTTTTTCTTTTAAACATAAACAATTTTAAAATAATAAACAATTATTATAGAAAAATAAAACAATTTTTAATAAATAATAATATATAAATAAATAATTAAAAAATTAAATTTATTGAATATATACATTTAAAACTTCAATTATTATTTTTATTTATAATTTAAAGCACTTTATATTTTATTTGTAAATATATAATAGTTTTATGAAAATAAATTAAACGAACAAACAAAATGACGGATATTTTAAATAATGATTTCGTTGATAAAGATAGCAAGAAAAAGAAGCAGATTTTCGTTGCTCAAGAACATCAAGCAGATTCACTCGAAAAATCAAAAAATTTATTGAAAAAACAACAAAACAAAGATGAAGATTCAGAATTATTACCATTGGAAAATGAATGGTCATTTTGGGAAGATCACTACACAAACAATAACAATTCAATTGCTTCAATTGATGAATATTTAAATGCTTTAAAACAATTATATTCATTTTCAACAATTCAAGTAAGTAATATTTTTATTTAATTTATATTTAAAATTAATTAAATTAATTAATATTTAATTTTTTTTTTTTTTTTTTTTTTTTTTTTATTTTTAATTAAATTTTATATTTTTAAAAAAAAAAATTTCTTTTATTCAAAAAAAAAAGGAATTTTGGTTAAGCTTTAATAGAATACCAAATATTTCAAAGTTACCAAATAATTCATGCTTTCATTTATTCAAAAAAGGAACAAGACCAATTTGGGAAGAAAATGAAGAGGGTGGTGAATTTGTTTTAAAAGTTAAAAAATTTCAAACGTAAAGATTTATTTGTTTTAAAATTATTTATTTATTTTTAAAATTAGAATTTTTTATTTACTTATTATTTTTAATTTTTTTATATTAATTTCATAGTGATGAAATCTGGAATGAGTTGGTATTATCTGTAGTTGGGGAGCAGTTCAGTTCATACTTACCTGATAACGATGATATTTGTGGTATTTCTATTAGAAAGAAACAAGGTACCGATTTCAATATGATTCATATTTGGAACAAGAATACCAATGGTAGAGAGGACATCCCAAGAGCTATTAAACATTTATTCCCACTTTTATTGGATGAGTGTATGCAAACATTCTACAGAGAGCATGGAAATAAACCACAGCAAGCATTACCATCTCAACAACAAATTCGTATGCAACAATTAAAGAATATGAATAAATCTGCATCTGTATTAAAGCCATCATCAAATGCATTTGTTCCACGTAAAACTGTTCGTTTCAGTTTACCAAAATCAAAATCAGAATCAGTTATTGCCAGCCCAACATCAACTAGAAATTCAAGTGATAATAAGCAATCAAAGAAATTAATATCAACCGAAGAAGCCTCACCAGGTAATTTTGATTTAAAGCCAATCCTTTCAAACAAAACCGCCAAAATACCTGTTTCTATGGGCCAAATTAAAGATTTAAAACCAAAACCAATTAATTTTGATGATTTTAATCAAGAGGATGAAGGCTTAAGAGACGACTGGGTCGAAGAAAAGAATAAAGAATTTGAAAAAGAAATAGAAAAAGAAATAAAAAAAGAAGTTGAGAAAGAAATACAAAAAAGAAGACCTGAAGGTGTTGAAGACTCTGAACTAGAAGAAGAGGAGTTGGGTCATGAATACTCTCCAATTGCAAATGATGAAATCGTTCCAAATTTATCATATAACAATTATAAGGATGAAGTTGTACCAGAAACAAATCAAAATGATAATGAAGATTTAATCCACCATGGCTATAGTGACGAAACCGAATTACCTGAGCTAAAGAAACAAAAAATCAATTTTGACTTTGATCCAGCCGAAATATTGAATGATCCAGTAAGCAACCTCGAAAAATTAGTTCAAGAAGAAGAAGAAGAAGAAGAAGAAGAAGAACTACCAAAGAAAAAGAAGAGACAACAAAAAAAGAAACAACAAAAAAAACAAAAACCAATTGAACAAGAACCAGTCAATGAATCAATTGATAACGAAAATGGTGCTCTCGATGATTTATTAAGTGAAAAGGAAATTAAACAATTAAATGAATTTCTTAATCAAGAAAAACAACAAGAGCAAGAACAACAATTAAAAGAAACTAAAGATTTGTTAGAAAAAGACTTGGTTCAAGATGAAAAAGACATTGATGAAAAATTAGAAAAGGAACAATTAGAAAAAAGTATTGACAAGGATATTGACGACATTGTCGATGAATTATCAGAAAGTGAAATCGATGAAGAATTAAATGAAGAAATTGACTCATGGGAACAAGAATTAGGTATTGAAGATCCAGGCCATATATTCCGTGAAGGCTTTAAAAGTGAATATAAAGATGAACTCAAAAAAAATTTAAAAGAAGATATAAAAGAGGTAGTTAAAGAAGAAATTAACGAAATTGTTGAAAATTCAAAAAAACAACAAAGACAACAAGAATCAAAAGAAAAAGAAAAACAAAAGCATGGAATTAAATATGACATCCTATCCGACCAACCAACCATCGAAGAAGAAGAATGGTAAATAAAATATATTATTTGATTAAAACCATCCTTTAAAAAAAAGAACAAAAAATAAAAAATTTTTAAAACCAAAAAAAAATAATAAAAAATAAAAAAATGTAAATTCTTTTGGATTCACCCAACATTATAGTCAATTGATTTATCGTTTTTAAAGTATAAATATAGAAATAGCAGTGATTAAAAAAAAAAATTTGGGTATTTTAAAACCCAAAAACAAGTTAATTTTTTTTATTTTTTTTTTTTTATTTTAATTATTTTTTTTATTTTTTTTTTTTATTTTTTTTTATTTTTTTTTAATTTTTTTTTTTTTCAATATTTTGGGATATCAACTTTAATTTAAATAACATAGCTGTTAAATAGAAATAATAATAATAATAAAATAATAAATTTATTTAAAACTAAATTGTTTTTTTTATTTTATTTTATTTTCTTTTTTTATGAAAAATTGTATATAACTTCACAAAATTCTATAAATCATAAAAAAGAATAAAATTAATAAATTAAATAATTAGGAATTAATGTATGTATAATAATTATATTTTTATTCATAAAATAGTAATAATATACCACACACACACACACCAAGACAAACAACACTTTTTAAAAAAAAATAAAAAATAAAAAAAAATAAATAAAAAAATAAAAAATAATTATTTATTTTGTTTAATTTTTTTTTATTTTTTTTATTATATATAATTTTTTATTTTTTTTTTATGTATCTTTTTATTTTATATTTTTTATATTTAAACTAAATATTTTATAATTAAAAAAAATTCCATTTTCACATTCTGAACAACAAACGAAAATAAATAAAACAACATATAAATGATACAAAAAGTAGATAGATAGAACATATTGTTTAATTTTTTTTTTTTTTTTTTTTTTATGCAAAAATATAATATTATATTAATATTAACATTATTTTTTATTTTTTTTGTGAAATTCTAACTTTAAAAATCTTTAGATAGAGTTGTAAAATTAAATTCAAATATATAACTAATAATAAAAATAATAATAGCAGTATTTAAAACATACAAACCTAACATTAAACATACAAAAACTCACCATAAACCACTTTCTGCAATAATAAAATAATAATAGTAATAATATAAACATAATTTTTATTTAAATTATATATTTTTTTTTTTTTTTTAATTAAATATTTTATTATTTTAATATTGTTTTTTTTTTTTTTCCTCAAAATAATAAATTCTTTCATATTAATTGTAAAATAAAACTGTTGTATTCATATATAAACAAAAAAAATAAAAATAAAAAGAATAATTAAACTTTTATAAACAAAAAATTTGTAATAATCACTATCATCTTCATATCAATAATAAAATAATTATCATAATAATAAAAACACTTTAAAAAGAAGAAGAAGAAATGGATCCACTTGATGAATATGATAGTTTTAAATATATTACAAAGGGTGCACCAAAGGTAGAAAATATACTAAACTATGACATTAAGGAAATATTAAAATCGCCATATTTTTGGGGAACATTAGCAGCTGGAGCTGGTTTGGCATATTGTTATATATTTGGTCAAGATGATGAAGATGTAAATGGTAGTAATAACAATGGAAATGGTGTAAATAACTATATAAATGATAACTTTAATCACTCTCAAGCCCATCATAATCACCCGCAACATGTATACCCCTCATCAGTTCCAGTGGGCTCACATACTACCACAACAACTACAACAACTACAACAACAAGTAGCTTATTACCACCACCACCGGCAACAATAGCACCATCCAAATTGAAAAACAAAAATGGTGAACCTCTTTCGATCGAGGAGCAAAATTTATTATTATTAAAAGAGAATACCTATCTTAAAAACGAGAACAGGGATCTTCGAAATTGGGTTAGTAACCAACTTAACAATATTAGCGATAGAATGGGAAAAAATGCAAATCGATTTGGATAGAGAAAAATATTGTCATATTTGTGAAGAAAATGAAAAACAAGTTTGTTGGAGAGAATGTGGCCATAGACTTTGTGGAAGATGTGCAACTTTAATCAAAAAATCATCCAGTCCTCAATGTTCAATTTGCAGAACCTCCGTATCTGAATTTTACATGGCATGGAATACCTAGTTACTAGGTACGATTGACCACCCAAGCGAAAATATACTTTTTAAATTAATAAATAAAATTTAATTAATTTATAATCGTAAAAAAAAAAAAAAAAGATTTTATTTTTTATTTTATTTTGGGATAACATATTTATTATATCAAAAAATATAATCTATTTACATATTTGGAAAATGAATACAAATAATAATAGCAACAAAAATAGTAATAGTTCATTTACTTTATATTCAACCGAACCAAAGTATAAAAAACAAAAAACAGATGTAAAAGGTGCCTAAAAATTCATTTGTATGATCATTACCAAAAAACAATTATTATTTTATTATATTGGTGGCTTTCAATTGAACTGGTAATGCAGTTTATTGATCAATAAAAACGTAAAACTAATTTTAAAGTTTGTGAAATTAAATATGGTCAAAATGGACCATGTTTCAGCAATAGCATGTCAGTGTAAAAAGAATAACACTTTTTGTCCTAAACAACATTCCTGAACCAATATTAAAAGAAAATGAATTAAAAAGAGAATCAAATAAAAAAACAAAATCAAATGAAGAAGTTTAAAATAAAAAAGGGACTTTACAAAGAGTAGATTTAAAAAAATAAAAATAAAAAAAAAAAATTTTAAGTTTTTTAAAAAAAAAAGGGCCATATTATTATTTTTTTTTATTTTTTAAAGATATTAACTTAAAAAAAAATATTAACTTAAAAAAAAAGTTGGGGGTGGCCCTTTTTTTTTTTTAAAAAACTTAAAATTATACTAAAGATATTTTATTTTTTGACCCTTTATATAAAGTTTTTTTTTATTTTTTTTATTTACTTTATAAAAAATTGTAATATTAATCGTAAATCATTTATTATTATTTTTCTTGTTTTTTTTTTATTTTTATATATTATTTAGTTTTTTTTGTAAAAGTCAATAATACAAAATAACCCATCAAATAAATAACCAAAGTTTGAAACAATGTCGAATCAACCAGGTAAGAAACCCACTTTACGACGCAATTATTTTATATAATAATTATAAAACAAAAATACTAATTAATTGTTAATAATTTGAAATATATTTTGTTTCCATTTATTATTTATTTATTTTAATAGAAGCACCTAAACCATCGATTAGTAAATTAGCTAGTATGTTTAATAAACCAGCAGCAGAAACAGTACCACAAAAAGCTACACCAAATTTTAAAATACCAGCAAAAAAACCATTAGCACAAACAACAGCACCAACAAATGCAGCAGGTTCAACAACAACAGAATCAGCAAATAATAGAATAGAGCAAATTAAATCGACATCTACTAATATAGCAGGAGCAGGTTCTTCATCACCATCATCACCATCACCTTCAACATCATCACCAATTATAAATTCTACACAACAACCAATTAAAAGTAATATATCACCTATTTCGAGTCTTAAAACTTCACCAATATTAAAGTCAGCTGCTAATAGTTCAGAGCCATCAACACCATCTTTTAAAGGTTTTGCATTAAAGAAATCACCATCAAATAGTGAAAATATTTCATCACAACCATCTCCACCATTAGCTGGTAACCGTGCATTTCCATTAAAACCAGCTGCATCATCAGCTCCAAATACACCAGCATTTAAAGGTGCAGCAGGTCTTAAAAAATCACCATCAAACAGTGAAAGTATCTCATTATCATCACCAACCACAACCCCAACTACACAATCACCAAATACACAATCACCAACTTTAGCACCAACCAAAGAAAATAATACAACAAATGAAACCACACCAATATCATCAAGCAATACTACACCAACTATTTCACCTATTTCAGTTAGACCACAAACATTAGTTTATGTATTACCACCACTTGATTCAAAAGAAGAACCAAAGGAACCAATTAAAACACCACAACCAGCACAACCTATTAAAAAATTACAACCACAAATTAAAAAAGAAGAAACATCAAAACCAATTAATAATGAACTTTTAAATAATAATGTTTCAAAATTATCTAGTGAAACCATCCAAAAAGAAAAAAGAGGTGAATTTGTAAGAGTTTTATCCAACATAAAAGGTGATTTTAGTTCATTAACAGTACAACGTGGTGATATTTTAGAAATTAAAGAAAAGGGCGAAAAAGATACCTATTTTGGTTCAAATGGTTTTAAAAGTGGCTCATTCTCAATTTCAAATACCAAACTACTATATCCAAAGAGTCATGATCCACCAGCAGATTCTCAAAAAGTTGTTGCCATCAAAGATATTAGAACTAGTAATAACTATACTGTAATTAGGGGTGATGTTTTATCAATATTAGAAAAGAAATCTGACAAAGTTTATTCTGGTCGTGTCAAAGTAGGTTTGGATGGATGGGGTGAAATGGTAGATTTCCCAGCAGATTCAGTACGTAATATTAATGATAAGGAATATCAATTATTTAGTGATCTTTTAGATGTAGTCATCGAAGTTTCAGAACAGCTCATGGATCCAGAATCATTTTCAACTTCATCTCCACGTTCAAATAGTACAACAAGTAAAATATCAGAAAAACAAATTGAAAAGAATCAATTGGTCCTTAGAGATAGAGTAAAGAGTGTTCAAACTGTTAGAGAAAAAATATTAAACTCTGAAAATTCTGACCCAGCTCTTCATGCTACTCTCAGAAAAGAAATCGAAATTACTAGAGCCTTTTTATCAAACGAATTTTATATTGTTGATGACAATGGTGAAATTTTAACTCACGACAACGAATCACCAATGAAACTATTAAAGTATCATTATCAAATGTACGAAAAGAAAAAAGATACATCATCTGGTTCATCTTCATCAGTATCAACTGGTTCAGCAGCATCATCATCATCAAAATCATCTTTAACATTAGCATCACAAACTGGTAATCAAAGCTCCAGTGGAAATTTACATTCATCTAGTGTTTTATCTCAATCTATTAATTCATCTTCATCAGCATCAAACTCAACATCGACATCAAACTCTCAAGATGGTATTCATAAGAAACAATGGGACTATGGTCAAATTCTTTGCGATATTAAATTAAATAAATGTACATTACCAGCTAAAAAGAATTACGAATTTTATTTCTCATTATACAATTTCTCGCAATCAAGATATATTACTGAACAAGTCAAAGCTGAATGGGATACAGTTGCAAATCAAAATGCATCATTTAGATTCTTACTTAAAAATATAGAACCATCTGATATCACCGAGGATATTTGTTTCCTATGTAAAGTTGTTCGTAAAGGTCCATTCAAGGATGTAGATGAAAATAAGGATCTTAAAAAAGGTACAAACACTGATTTTAGAAGACCATTTGCATTTGCATGTATTTCTGCTCCAAATTTATTAGTTGAAAATCAAATCGGTTTAGAAAGAACCTCAAATTTACAATTTTATTCAACAAACTCAACTGATATTTCAATTTCTCAAATACCAGATTGTAAGTATTTTTTTTTTTTTTTTATAAAAATTAAATATCATATTAATTAATTTTTTAAAATTTTAGTTATTATGAAAAATTCAGATGATGAAATTAAAAAACATTTAGATTTAGTACCAAAAGCAACATCAGGTTTACCACAATCAATATTACCAATTTCATTAAGTTTTTATGATCAAACATTTGATAGTTTTTCAAGTAAATTCCCTCAATATAATCAATTAACCAAAGTAGAAAAATTAGAACACAAAATTGTATTCTCTGAAAAGATTCACAAATTTTATATGACATTAGATAGCGGTAAATTTGCCCAAGGTAAAAAAATGGAAGTTATAATCAAGGTACGTTTGGAAGATGGTGAATACTTGGAGAACTGTATTTCATTAGGAAGCGGTTCTAATTATGTTTCAGAAATTCATACAACTACAGTTCTCTTAAATAATGGTACCAGCATTTGGAATGAATCTATTCATTTTAATATTCCTGAAAAGCATTTCCCAAAAGCACATATTTTATTCTTTGTTAAAAACCGTTCAAACACCTCATCAAAGGAAAAGAATTCTTTAGTTGGTTTCTCTTGTATCAAATTGGGTAATGAGGACTCTACTGTAATCTCTAATGGTGACCATGTCTTACAAATGTTTAAATTAACATCAATTGATCAAATTCCACCTATTTCAAGCTATATTGATTTTAACTCAAATAATAGTAGCTCAAATAACTCTGCAAACTCATCCAACTCATCTCCACAAACTGGTGATAAGAAAGAAAAAGATAAACACTCAATCATTAAAAAGAATGAAACATTAAAAATCAAATCTTTACTTCACTCAAGCGATTTTATTCAACACCAATCCGTCATTCAGCTTCTCAATTGGAGAAATAATAAGAATATCATCTCGATTTTCGACAGATTTAAATTTGTTGATCCAATTCAAATTATGAGAAATCTTAACAAAATTTTAGACAGTTTATTATCTATTTTCGATTTATTCTCAAATACTTCATCAGATAACCCCAAGGCTCCAAATGAAAATACTTTAATGGTTTACAATACTCTTGTTTTTGTTATGGGCTTATTGACCGATGAAAGAACCAATCGTTTCAAACATTTTAAAAGTGAAATGGACCATTATATTGTAGAACAATTCTCAATCGCAAATACACACAAACATCTTTTAAGATGTATTTCAAATTCTATCAAAGATATATCAAGTAAAGAAACCGCTAAAATGTCAAATACACTCAAAACTTTAGAATTTATGTTTAGAATTATTACTAAATCACGTTTGGTTTACACTAGAGAAAAAGGTTCCTCACCAGAAGAAGAATCACAATGGAAAGATGACCTTAGAGAGTTCTTAGGTTTATTAAACAAATTAATGTCAAATAGTAATCAAACTCTTTTAATTGTTCCACAAACATTTGCTATTAAAAACTTTGCGGTTATTATGAAAGGTTTAGGTAACTTTTTCACCCACACCGAGCTCTGTATTATTTTATCAGACTTTATGGAAACTGTTTATTATAGTGATAAAAATTTCTACCAATTAAAACTTACTGTTTACCACAAGATTCTTTCAACCCAGCTACCAATTGGTCCAGATACTTATCAACACTTATTACCAGCATTGGTTTCAACTATCGATCAGCATTTAAATAAGGGTGAGGAGTTAAGACTTGCAAACCAATTGCTTGCTTTGCTTTTAGAATCGATTCAATCATTAGAAGATGTTCAAGATAGAAACAAAGCTTTAAATATTGTTGCCATTATATTTAGTAAAATGTTTTCTCTAGTAGATACCTGCTTATCAAATTTAGTAAATGAAATTCTTTTTGGTGGTGGCTCTTCTATTAATATTAATACCGAAAATACCTTTTTAGTTTCAAATTTCTACACCACTATTCATTATTTCTTAAAGCATGATGGTGGTTACAAATATTCAAACCTTTTAGAGAAATATATGGAAGAAACATTAAAAGAAGAAAAGAACATCAAAGTATTTATTAAAAAATTATTAAAAATATTGGAAGGTTTCCTTAGCAAACTTGTTTACTCACTTAAATGGCCAACACTCAATCTTTTCCAATACCAAGTTACCATTTCAACACTTGAAACCATTGAACCATATTGCATCAAATACTTTAGCGATTCAAATGATTGGGCATTATTATTTAATGTTAAATTTGCATTTTTAAATACACCAACATTGAAATTAAGCGAAAATAGAATTAATAGACTAAACTACATCAAGACCGAATTGGATAGTATTCGTATCAATATATTAAATTCAATTTCCTCAACATGGGACTATGTCAATAAAATGCAAATTCAAAACCAGCTTTATCAAAATATAGTTGTTCATTTATTATACTCACTATTAAATGGTAATAATCAAGTTAATGAATTTGCTCAAAACTTTTTCTATTTAATTATGAAGAATGAATTTAATGAAAACAAATCATTAAAGAAGGTCGAAAGCAAAACTATTGAAGTTTTAGATAAAATTACAATTAGAGAAAGAATTTGTGACGAAGAAATCTTTAAAAACTTTTTAATGAAACGTTTAACCAACTCCATCGATAGTGACCATTGTTCATTTAATAAAGAGGCCAAATCTTTCATTTCAAATATTATTCAATTACTTTCATTACTTTTCGAATTTAGAACATTGCCCACCGATCGTGCCTTTGAAGAAGAAAGAACCATTGCAACACTTAAAATGATGGAATACTTTAAAGATAGAAAAGATACTTATATTAAATATCTTTACGAGTTATTAAATCAACATTTAACCAATGGATACTTTACAGAAGCAGGTTTTACTTTACTTTTACATTCAGATCTTTACGAGTGGAATAGCGAACAAATTATACCAATCTATAATTTAAATTTGGCTGGTAACAACCAACCAATTATGATGCCACAAGAAACAGCCACCGAACGTAAAGTACGTTTAATGAAATTGGCAATTCAATATTTAGATAAAGGTCAAGTATGGGAAAGATGTATTACTTTGTTACAAGATTTAAAACAACATTATGAAGAAACATTTAATTACAAAGGTTTATCAGAAGCATGTTTACAAGAAGCCGAATTTTATGAAAAGATTTTAAATACAGAACGTTTCTTCTCTGAATACTTTAGAGTAGGTTATTATGGCAAGAAATTCCCAGTTTCTATTCAAGGTAAAGAGTTCCTTTATAAAGGTTTCGAATTAGAAAGATTACCAGATTTTACACAAAGAATTCTATCCAAATTCCCTGATGCAGAGTTATTAAAGACAACTAGTGAACCAACAGTCGAAATTCAAAACTCTGATGGCCAATACCTTTTAATTACTATTGTTAACCCATCAAACCAAGAGGAGGTAGAAAAGAGACAGAAACAAATTATTTTAGGTACACCAAACAATTCTAAAAACTATATCAAAAGAAATGATGTCAATGTTTTCGTTTATTCAAAACCATTCGAAAAAGCTTCAGGTGCAGTTTTAACAAGTAATAATAAGTTTGGTGATCTTTGGATTAAAAATCATTTCTTATTTACACATTCTAGCTTCCCAACTATTCATCGTCGTGCTGAGGTTATAAAGAAACAAGTTGTTGACCTCTCACCAATCGAAAATGCTATAAATTCAGTTTTCACCAAAAATGAAGAACTTGATGAAATGGTCAAGAAATATGAAAAGAATCCACAATTAAACTTAAATCCTTTAGCTATGGCATTAAATGGTATGATTGATGCTGCTGTTAATGGTGGTATTAGTCTTTATAAAGAAGCCTTTTATCAAGTTGCAGAGGCATATCGTCCACAAAAACAATTCCTTTCAAAATTATCATCTGAACTTACAAGACAATCAAATATCTTGGAATGCGGTCTTCAAATTCATTCAAAGAGATGTCCAGATGAATTACGTGGTTTACATGAAAAATTAGAATCATTCTTCCCAAAACTTCAAAGTGAAATAGAATCAATCCAAAAATTAATTTAAATAATAAATAAATAATTGTAATAATAAATTTAAAATAAATATATACATATAATTTTTTTTAAGAAAAAACAATACAATAAATAAATACCATAAAATAAATTGTAATTATTTGTATAAAAAAAAAAAAACTAAAATTTAATTTATTTTTCTTTTCTTTTTATTTTTTTTTTTTTTATTATTTATAAAAATAAATCATTATTTATTTAATTTTTTTCTTTCTGCTTGTAACTATAATAATAAAATTTAAAAATTAGTCAATCTTTAGGTTAATATATTATTAAAATTTTGTTAATACATACAACTTTTTTCACTCTATCAAGTGATTTACTATTTTCTGGGCCTGTACAATTATCTATATTATATGGACTTGAGATTTTAATTTCTCCTAAAACAATAATATTATCACCTGACCATGTACATGGTAAACTATTTAAAGAAAAAAAAAATATTAGTTTTGAGAAAATCTAATTAATTACATATTTGCTATCCATACGTTTTTGATAAAGAATTAAAAATTTCTTGGGCTTCGGAGGTTACACCAACACCAATCTTCATTGCTTGTTGAGTTGCCTTTCTTATAATTTCATCTTGCTTTTTATTAATTAATTGTACATTTATTGGTGGTAAAGTTAAATCAACATTATTACTACTGATATTTGGTTGTGGCTTGTTGGTTGGTGATTGAACATTTGGAACTGTATTGGTTGGTAATGAAAGGCATTTAATATCAGCAATTGATGACTCTAATAAAACCCTAACTGTTCTCTTTTGTGTAATAACTGCTGATGTTGATTCATCACTCACTTTTTTTTTTTTTTTAATATGTTTATTTGATTTTGGTATTAATTTTTTTTTTTTTTTTGAAATTTAAAAATAAAAGTATTAATATTATTTATAAATTTATTTTATAATAACTATTATATCAATATTTTGATACCTACAAAGTGTAATACAAGTTGTAACTGGGTCATAGTTGAAAACTTCACCTTCGAATTCGTCATTGGAGGTAGTTTTAATTAAAACTTTTAAACCAACAATCCATGAGAATTTATCTTCCATTTTATGCTATATATATTATATTTATTTATTTATATCTAAATATTTGAAAGAATGCGAAAAATATATTTGGTTTTATATAGAAATTTACAATTTTTAATAAAAAAAAATTATTTATATACTTTTATTTTTAAAATTATTTATAATATCTTAATTATTCGATTTAATATTATTTTGTGTTTTATTAAAGCTGTTATTATTTAATATATCTTTAATATAAAAAAAATCGACTTTTGATGAAAATAAATTTAAAATAAATATATAATACAAATTTATAAAAAAAATTAAATGAAAAAAAATAAAAAATTTTATCAAAAAAAAATAAAAAAAAAAAATAAAAAATTTTTTTTTAAAAAAAAATTAAAAAATTATTTGTTCACGCATATTATAAAAAAGAAATATTTTTTTTAATATTATAATAATAAAAATAGTTTAGTTGCTTAAATTTTAAAATTTAAATAAGACTAAAAATAAAAATCGATTTTATTTTAATTTAGTTTAAATTTATTTGTTTTAACCAAAAAAAAACTATTTTAAAAAAAAAAACACACTTTTATTTTCTGATTGATTTTCTAAAAGATTTTTTTTAAAATTTAAATATAGATTTAATTTAACAAAAAATTAAAAATAAACAATTAGTTTTTAATTTAATTTTCATTTTTTAACCCACCATATTTAGTAATTGTGAAAGTGTGTGTTATTTTATTTTGTTTATTATTTGTTAAGTGTGTGAATTTATATAAAAGAAAAAAAAAAAAAATTTAATTTTCTTTAATTTTTTATTTTTTTTTTTGAATTTTTAAAATTTTTTTTTAAATTTTTTATTTTTTATTTTTTTACATATCCAAACTTGTTAAAATAAAATAAAAAATATATATTTATATATTTATAAATATAGATATTAAATTATAGTATCTATAGTTTAATAAACCCACACCCTTTTTTTTATATTTGTTTATATATTAAGTTTTCTTTTTTTTTTTTTATTTCCCAAAAATATAGTTTGTCATTATAAAGGTATATATATATAACATAAAATTAAGTCTCAAATATATATTTTAAATTTGGATACTAATATTACCTTCCTTATTTTAGTTATTTGATTTTTTTTTTTTAAAAGAAAAAAAAAAAAAAAAACAATACAACATATTCTATTATAATTTATAAAAATAAAAAAAGAAAATGGAAAATCAAAATGAATCATTTTTCTTTGGGGAACCAGATCCAGATAGTAGTTTTTTTGATTCAATAGGAGCAGGTGACGAGTTACAGGTCGAGCAACAGCCACCACCACCACCACAAGAACAAGAAGCACCAGTTGAACAATCGCAACCAACTGAACAACCTCAAGAATCACAACTTGAGCAAACACCACAAAATATTGATAATATTCTTGTTAGTGAACACGTTGTTAATAAATTAAGCGATAGCATAATCGGTGATAGTTCAGATACCAAATCAGAAGCAATTGTTGAACAACCAATAGTAGAGTCACCAATAATCGAATCACCACAACAAGATGAACAAATAGTTAGCGATAATAATAATAATAATAATAATGGCAATGAATCATCTTCAATGGCCGAAACATCAATAGTCGAAACATCAATTGTCGAACCATCAGTTGTTGAACCATCAGTTGTTGAGCCATCAGTTGTCGAAACATTACCAACACAAGAAGAAAAACCAAATGAAAGCGAAAATAAAATTGAAAACGAAAATGTAACATTATCCCAAAATAATACTGAAGAAGTTAATTCAACAGTCGAACTAAATAATAATATCAACAATAACAATAATAATATCAATAATACAGAATTAAATAGTAATATTGAAAGCGATAAAAAAGAGATTTCATCATTTTTTAGTAATACCGACGATATAGATCATAATGCATCATTCTTTAATTCTGCTTCGAGTGAATCTAATAGTGTTAATAGTATTGAAACAGGTTCCTTAGCTTCAGCCATTGCTGCCGAAGAAAAAGATGCTTCATTATTCTTTAATCAAGAAACAACCAATAATAATAATAATAACAACAATATTAATACTGATCAAATAAAAAAACCAGTTAAAGATATTTCATCATTTTTCGCTACACCCGAGTTAGGTTCACAAAATGATTCAGATAATCTTTTCCATTCATTTAATATTTCGCAACCACAACCACAACCACAAACACAACAACCACAACAACAACCACAACAACCACAACCACAACCACAACCACAATTACAATCACAATCACAACCAAAACCAGAAAAAGATATTTCATCATTCTTTGGTGGAACAAGTTCAAGTAGTAATAATATAAATAATTCTTTTAATAGCCCCGCAAAGCCACAACAATCAGAAAAAGACGTTTCATCATTTTTTGGTGGATCAAGTTCAAATGGTAATACAACATTTGGAAATAATAATAGTAGTATTAACAGACAACAACCAGAAAAAGATGTTTCTTCATTCTTTGGTGGTTCAAGTACCTCTGAAGCTTCATTTTTTGGTGAATCTAGTGGTTTAGATGATAGTTCAATGTTTTTCGAAAATCTTAATAGACAGCAAGAAGAGCAAATAAAGAGAGAACAGGAGGAAAAGCAGAGAAGAGAAAGAGAAGAAAGAGAAAGAAGAGAAAGAGAAGAGAGAGAAAAAAGAGAAAGAGAAGAGTTACAAAAAAAACAACAAGAACAATTATTACAACAACAACAACAACAACAACAATATCAACAAAATCAATACCAACAACCATATGGAGGTTATAACCAATATCAACAACCAATGAATCAATATCAACCGCAACCAATTAACCAATATCAATCTCCACAGCAACCACAGCCACAAAATTTTTGGAATCAAACACCATTACCACTACCATTGAATCCATTCCAAAATCAATATCAACCTCCACAGCAACCACAGCCACAACCAATACAACCACAACCACAGCTACAACCAATACAACCACAACCAATACAACCACAACCACCAATGAATCCATTCCAAAATCAATATCAATCTCCACAGCAACCACAACCACAACCAACACAACCACCACAAAATTATTGGAATCAACCACCACCACAACAAACATCCCAACAAATTCCATTTTTTAATAATTCTCCATCAAACTCTTTTAATTCAAATCCAAATCCATCACCATCATCCAACCCAGGTTCATTTTCAAATCAACCACCACAAGCTCAACAGCCTCAAATTCAACAAACACCACAAATTCCATTACATTCATCATCTGGTAGTCTTCAAACTAGACAACACCAAAGATCAGATTCAAGTAGTGATCAATTTTCCAGCCTTTTAAAACAACAAGTTAATATTAATAACCAAGCTCCACCTTTACCAATGGTTCCACAAATTAATAATCCACCAGCTCAACAAAATTTAGTAACACCACCACCAATGCTTTCATCACCACCATTAATGATGTCAAATTCAAATCCCTCATCATTATCTCAACAAAGATCCTCACCAAGTAGTAGTGTTACTTCACAATCAATGGTTCCAAATCAACCAGCTCAACAAAATTCAGTAACATCACCACCATTAATGATGCCAATTTCGAATCCATCATCATTATCTCAACAAAATTCAGTAACATCCCCACCATTAATGATGCCAATTTCAAATCCATCATCATTATCTCAACAAAGATCTTCACCAAGTAGTAGTGTTACTTTACAATCAATGGTTCCAAATCAACCAGCTCAACAAAATTCAGTAACATCACCACCATTAATGATGCCAGTTTCAAATCCATCATCATTATCTCAACAAAGATCCTCCCCAAGTAGTAGTGTTACTTCACAACCAATAATGATTCCAAATTCAAATCCACCAATGGTTCCTGTATCATCACAACCAATGGTACCAAATATTAATAGTCCACCAATTCCCAATTCTTTATTCCAACAAACTTCAATTTCAGGATCACCACATGTTAATAATAATATTGGCTCACCACATAGAACTAGCCAACCAATCGGTATTCCTGGTAATGCATCACCATTAGATCAAAGTGGTGGCTCAGTACCATTTTTTAATAGTTCACCAGCTAATGGATCACCATCAACTTATAACAATATGAATGCTCATTATCACACTCCACCAGCTTCATCAAACCAATTTGTTAGAAACCATTCACTTCCAGATTTCTCAAATCGTTCAGCCTCACCAAACCCAAGTCATGGATTCGTAAATTATGCTTACTCTCCAACACCAACACCATCACATTTACAACCACCACTTAATGGTAATAATGCTCAATTTTATCATTCACGATCGACTTCATGGAATGAACAACCAATGGCAAATCAATATTTCAATCAAAATCAACCACAAAGACAAGTTGGCCCATTATTTACTCGTCCACATCCAGTTATTGCATTTGGTTTTGGTGGTAAAATTGCTCAAATTAAATTAAATAGTAACCCAGTTTCAGCTGATGGTGTTAATTTATCTAAATATTCGATTCAAATTACCCCAATTAAATCTTTAATCTCCCACAATACATTTTACAACAATGTTGCAACTTTCCCAGGCCCACTTAATTCATCATCATCAAAAGATGCAGTTGGTAAATGGATTACCGAACGTGTTAATGATATTGCTTCAGGTAAAATTGATACATTGTGTTCTAAAGATCTCGAAGCATCTACAATTCTTTGGGAGCTTTTAAAGATTTTATTAAACAATTATGGTAATCTTTTTAATAGTGTTCCATCCGATAAGGATGAAAAAACCGTTGCTAAATCGATTCAAGCACTTTTATTGGATAACAAGAGTGTTCAAACACCATTCCGTTACACTCCAAAAAATAGTAAAAGAACCGAGGCTGATACTAGTTTGTTAATAAATAGAATTCAAACTCTAATGAATCAAGGTGATATTGTTGCAGCACAAGCATTTGCTTTAGAAAACGAAGTTTGGTCACATGCATTAATTTTAGCTCATCAATTAGGTGGTGAAGCATATAATCGTACTTTATCAACTTTCGCTCAAGCATCACTTCCAACTGGCACTCCACTCAAAACTCTTTATAGTCTTTATTCTGGTACCACTCGTGATCTTTTCGTAGATATCCATAATTCAAACCAAAGTCAATTGCCAGAGCAAAAACAAAACTCTTTTGCATTTTTAGATAGTTGGAAAGAAAATATTGCAACTTTACTCTTTAATGGAAAAGCTAATGGTTGTAAGGTAATAGGTGAAATTGGTGATTGTATTTGGCAATCTCAAAAGCGTATCGAAGCTGCTCATATTTGTTATTTATTAGCTGACTACCAATTTGGTCCACTTAACAATCCATCGTGTAGAATTGTACTTTTAGGTGGTGATCATAAAATTGCAAAACATTTCATTACTACCGAATCACTTCAAAGATCAGAAATTTATGAATATTCAAAAATACTTGGTAATTCACAATACTCTTTACCAATTCTTTTTGTTTATAAATTTGTTTATGCAACATATTTATGTGATATAGGTTTAATTGATTTATCATTAAAGTAAGTGATCAATAATAATTTTAGAACAATTAATAATGAAAATATTAATATTTTTTTTTTATTTTTTTAGATATTTAAATCATATTAAGAACTTATTAAAAAATCATCAACAACAAATAAGTAATCCATGTTTTATTTATCAATTGGATACATTTGCAGAAAGAATTACATCATATTCATCAAATAAAAAACTTTCAGAATCTGGATCTTGGTTCCAATCAATTTTCAATAAAGGTTTTAAGATTTTAGGTGGAAGCAATAAACAAATCCCTACCCATGGTTCATCAGATCAATTATTAACATCTCCAAATGTAGCCGCTCCAGTGGTAGTTACCAGCACTAATACTACCCCAGTTAAAGACCAATCAAATTCAGGTTTCTTTGGTAAAGCATCAACTCCAGTCCAACCTGCAACAGCAGCACAAGCAACAGCAACACAATCATTTAAGAGTCACAGTAAACATGATGAAGACGAAGATTTATATAGTTCATTTTCTACTAAACCAAAAGCTCAAGTTGCCCCTCAAGCCAATGATTCAAATAAAAATGATTTATCTAATACATCAGATAATAACACTGGTACTTTATCAGGTAATACTTCACCAGTCAAGGATGACCAACAAGAAGCTAAACCAGGTTTATTAGCTGGTCTTTTCTGGAAAAAGAAACCAAAGCCAAAGGAAATGAATCTTGAAACCACCTCTGACTTTTACTTTAACGAAGAATTAGGTAAATGGGTCGAAAGAGGTAAAGAGGCTGAAGCTATGGCAGCAAGCCAACCACCACCACCACCACCAACTGAATCATTTTCACCATCAACCCCAGATGGTATGATGACTCCACCATTCGGTAACTCAAGTCCACCATCATCATCATCGCCATCGGCTTCAAGACATTTACCTGGTGCCGCTGCTGCAGGTAGTGATTCATTAGCACCACCAGGTATTAATAAATATTCATTGGTATCCCCAGGTGGTCCAAATACAAGAAGAAAACCAAGATATGTTGATACTTTAAATCAAACAGTTTATACTGGTGGTTCTTTAAACCCAACTCCTTCAAAACCTGAACCACAAAACACAAATTCAAATGTATTTACACCATTCATGCCAACTTTCGATCCATCAATGAATATTGATCAAAATCAGCAACAACCATCAAATGCCCAACCAATGATGCCACAACCATTAACTTTCGATCCATCAATGAATTACGATCAACAACCATCAAATGCTCCACCACCAATGATGCCACATGCCCCACCACCAATGATGCCACAACAACCACCACCACAATAAAAAAAAAAGATAATAACAAATAATTAAATTTAATTTAATATATATAAATTTAGATATAATAAAAATAAACTTATGAATGATTAATTTCATTTTAGTTTTTTAAAAAAATAAAAAAAAGTTTAATAATATTTTATTATTTATTTAATCCATTTTCTTTTTATTTGATCTATTTTTTAGAAACTCTATAATATTTGATACCGGTTCTCTAAAGTTTGGACTAACTAAATTTGTCATAAAGGTAATAATGAAAGAGTCCAATGGGAAGAAAATTTGAGAATGGTTCATTTGAATACCATTATTTATAGCTTCACATGCCCTTTCAACCGATACAAATTCTTGGATTTTGCCAATACTGTTTAACATTGGTGTTTGCATATATCCAGGGGTAACAACAGTAACACCAACACCAAATTTTGATAGTTTTTTACGTAGATTTAATCCAAATGAAATACAAAATGATTTTGATGAGCTGTATCCTGTATAAAACCAGTCTACATAACATGATAATGATGAAACAATTACAATTTGACCACTTTTACGTTTTTCAAATCTTGGTACTAAAGGTAAAACTGTATTTAATAATCCATTTACATTAACTTGAATAACCTTTTGAATTTTTTCTTCAAAGTCTAAATCATTTGGTAATTGACCTGTTTATAGAGTTTTAATTAACATATTAGTATTTGTTTTATGGTTCAAATATACTTTATATTTATTACATTCTATAACCCCAGCATTTGCAAATAATAAATCAATAGGATTTCTATTATCAAAGTCTACTAACTTCTCTTTCAATAAATCTCTATCTGTAATATCAACAATATTAATTTCAACATTTGCTCCTTTCTCTATACATTTGTTTTTTATATTAATTAATTTGTCATTATTAATACCAAACAATGATATATTTCTTCCAGGTTTTGAATAGTACAATGCCAATTGTGAGCCTAATCCACCACATGCACCTAAAGTAAATAAAAATTGAATATTAATAAATTATTAATAAAAAATAAAAAAATTTTTATTTTACCTGTAATAATAATGTTTTTGTGATCTTTGAATGTTTTAACTCTAATTAAATTGATTATTGCAAACAATGGTGAAGTAATTAAAAATAAAAATGATAAAATAAAAATAAAGATTGTAACTACAAAATCATTTATATAGTTATATAGTTGGAGAAGCATTTTAAATAATTAGCATACAAGTATTTTTCAACACACAAATATTGACATTATAAAAAAAAAAATTTAAAAATAACAAGATTTATAAAACAAAAAAAATTCAAAAATAATTAATATAAAAATTTAAAATAAAAATAACATTTTTATCACCACCCTAAGATTTATTATTTAATGGGTGGGTTATTTATATATGTGGTTTTAATGAAAGGAAGATTAATAATAAACATAAAAAAAACTACTCACATGTCTATATATAATTATTTAAAACTATTATAATAATAAATTTCTTTCTTTGTATGAATAAAATATCATATGTTATATATAGAAACTGGGTATATTTCATTAGAAGAAAAAAAAAATTTCTTAATATTTGGGGATTATTGGTCGTTTTTAGTTGCCGCCTTTCTTTAAATTTTTTGAAATAATTTTTTGAAATTTTTTTTTTTTTTAAATTAAAATTTTTTTTTTTTTTTTTTTTTAATAATAACATATAACACTTCACCAACACTTAATTTTTTATTTATTTATTTATATTTGTATTTTTTAATTCTTTATTTTTTTTTATACCTTATAATATATCATAATAATAAAATAAAAAATTAATACAACTTTATAAATTATTTATAATAAATAATAAATAATAAAATGTCAGATAGTGAATTTAGTGATTCAGATTATTCAGATTCAGGTTCTATCGGAATTTCTTCAGAAGAGAGTGGATCAGAATATGAAGAACCAAAAAAGAAAACCACCAGTAAGACAGCTGCAGCATCAAAGACAACTAAACCAGCACCTGCAAAAACTACTAAAAAAGCACCAGCTAAAAGAGGTGCAAAGAAAGCTGCAGCAAGTAAAAAATCAAAATCAGATAGTGAAGATGAATTCTCTGGCAATGATCAATCGTCTAGTGATTCAGAGAATGTTTTTAAAAATATAACCAACTCAGTTAAAAAAGAAGGCAAAACACTCGAAGAAATTTATCAAAAAAAAGAATTATTGGATCAAATTTTATTACGTCCAGATACATATATTGGTTCAACCGAAAAGCAAGAAGAAGAACTTTGGGTTTGGGAAAACGAAAGAATGGTTCGTCGTAAAGTTTCATTCGTACCAGGTATCTACAAGATTTTTGATGAAATTTTAGTAAATGCTGCTGATAATAAACAAAGAGAAGAAACAATGAAATTTATTAAAGTTGAGATTGACTCAGCCAATGGTAGAATTTCAGTTACTAATGATGGTGCAGGTATTCCAATTCATATTCATAAAGAACATAAAGTCTATATCCCAGAATTAATTTTTGGTCATCTCTTAACAAGTAGCCATTATGATGACTCTGAAAAAAGACTTACTGGTGGTCGTAATGGTTTCGGCGCTAAATTGGCCAATATTTTCAGTACCAAATTTATTGTCGAGTGTGCAGACTCAGGTTCAAAAAAATTATATAAACAAGTTTTCACCAACAATATGAGAAATAAAGAAGACCCAAAAATCACCTCATACTCCAACAAGACCAACTATACAAAGATTACATTTTATCCAGAGCTTTCTAGATTCGGTATGGTTTCATTCGATGAAGATCTTATTGCTCTCTTATCTAAACGTGTCTATGATATTGCAGGTTGTAATCCAACATTAAAAGTTTCTCTTAATGATCAAGAGCTTGGTATTAGAAGTTTCGAAAAGTATGTCAATCTTTATTTCCCAGATGCCGACGATGCCCCAAAAGTTTACTATGAAAAAGTTAGTCCACGTTGGGAAATTGCTGTTACACTCTCAACAGAAGGTCAATTCCAACAGGTTAGTTTTGTAAATTCCATTTGTACTGTTAAAGGTGGTACCCATGTTACACATGCTCTTTCAAAGGTTATCTCTGAAATTACCGAAGCTGTTCTAAAGAAACATAAGGGTGGTGAAATTAAACCTGCATTTGTCAAGAACCACTTATTTGTATTTGTAAACTCTCTTATTGAAAATCCACATTTCGACAGCCAAACCAAAGAAACTCTTACTAGTAAAATTACATCGTTTGGATCTCGTTGTGAACCATCTGAAAAATTCCTCAAAAAGGTTATCGATTCTAAATCTGGTATTATTGCAACTATTTTAGCTTTTGTAGAATTTAAAGAACAACAATCTATCAAGAGTTCAAGTAAACCTGGTAAAAAGGGTAAAGTAACACACTCAAAATTAGATGATGCTTCATTAGCAGGTTCAAGTAAATCCGCCGATTGTACATTAATTTTAACTGAAGGTGACAGTGCTAAAACATTGGCTATTGCAGGTATTTCAGTTGTTGGTAAAGATCATTATGGTGCATTCCCACTCAAAGGTAAATTATTAAATGTCAGAGAACAAGGTCAAAAAGCCCTCAAAAATGATGAAATTTGTAATATTATGATGATTTTAGGTTTACAGCCATTTGTAAAGTATGAAGATGTTTCAAAGTTAAGATATGGTCACTTAATGATTATGACTGATCAAGATAATGATGGTTCGCATATTAAAGGTTTAATTATCAATTTTATTCATCACTTTTGGCCACAATTACTTCATATGCCAGGCTTCTTGGTAGAATTTATTACTCCAATCGTTAAAGTTTCAAAGAATGGTAAAAATGCAATCTCTTTCTATACACTTCCAGAATTTTTAGAGTGGAGAGAAAAGAATCCAAAAGGTTGGGATATCAAGTATTACAAGGGGTTGGGTACATCACAAGCTTCCGAAGGTAAAGAATATTTCTCTGATTTAGAAAAGCACAAAATTGATTTCGAATGGGATGATAAGGCAGATACTTCAATTGATTTAGCTTTCTCAAAATCTAAAGCTGATGAAAGAAAGAAATGGATGGCTGAACATGTCGAAGGTACTTATTTAGAGCAATATGGTGTTGGTAAATTAAGCTATACAGACTTTATCAACAAAGAATTGATTTTATTCTCTATTGCCGATTGTGAAAGATCAATTCCTTCAATTGTTGATGGTTTAAAAACCTCTCAAAGAAAAATTCTTTATTCATGCTTCAAAAGAAATTTAAAAAAAGAAATTAAAGTTGCTCAATTAATTGGTTATGTTTCCGAACACTCTGCTTATCATCATGGTGAAATGAGTTTATACTCCACCATCCTCGGTATGGCTCAAGAATATATTGGTTCAAATAATGCAAATTTATTATACCCTTCAGGTGCCTATGGTACTAGAATTCAAGTATGTTATTAATATTATATTTTATTAAATTATTAATAAAACCAAATTCTAATTTTTTTTTTTTTAATTTTATTTAGGGTGGTAAAGATGCATCAAGTGCAAGATATATTCACACAAGATTAACTGATGTTGCTAGAGCACTCTATCATCCAGATGATGATAATATTTTAGCATGTGTTGTTGATGATGGTAAAAAAGTTCAACCAAAACATTATATCCCAATTATTCCAATGATTTTAGTTAATGGTACAGTTGGTATTGGTACAGGTTGGTCAACTACTATTCCAAGCTATAATCCAAGAGACTTGGTCGAAAATATGAAATTGTTATTAAATAAACAAGAACTAAAACCAATACAACCATGGTATAGAGGATTTACAGGTGAAATCTTAGAAAGTGGTAAAGGAGGACAGTATTTATCAAGGGGTGTTTGGAGAAAATTAAGTGAACATTCATTTGAAGTTACAGAATTACCAATCAACTCTTGGACCCAAGACTATAGAGAATTTTTGGACGAATTAGAAACACCAGGCACCAAAAAGAAGAGAAAAGAAGAAAAAGAAAAGAAGAAAGGAAAGAGATCATCCAAATCAACCACCACAAAGAAACCAAAGAGCAAGAGTAAAGATGATGATGATGTTACATCCACTAAAGAACCAACTATTAAAAGCTATCAAAATCTTTCAACCGACTCCACTGTCCATTTCATTATTGAAACCGTTCAACCAGTAGATACCATAGCAATTGAAAAAATTTTCAAACTCTCATCAACCATTAATGAAACCAATATGGTAGTCTTTGATGAAGAAGGTCGTATTCAAAGATTCGCAACTACACAACTAATCCAAGAACACTTTTTCGGTCTTAGAATGAAATATTATCAAAAGAGAAAGGATTATCTTGCTGAAAAGCTTTCTGAAGAATTTAAGAAATTAGATAACAAAGCTCGTTTCATTTTAGCTGTCATTAATAAAGAAATTGCAATCAACAATGTCAAAAAGGTTGATATTATGAAAAAATTAAAAGAAATGAAATTTGATATGATTTATAATAAGAGTATCGAAAAGATTGTCAAAGAAAAATTAAAAAAGAAGAAAGGTTCTTTTGATGAAGAAGATGCTGTCGATTCCGATGGAGAAGAAAAAGATGATGATGAAACAGATGAAACTGGTTCAAAGAAATCTGATGAAGAAAGAGGTTATGATTATCTTTTATCAATGCCATTGTGGACCCTTACTATGGAAAGAGTTAAAAAAATTATCGAAGAAAAAGATCAAAAGAAGAAAGAATGGGATATTCATTTAGGCACTCCATTATCCGATTTTTACAATAGAGACTTGATTCTTGTCGAAAAAGCCCTTGATGCCCAAGATGCCTATGATGAAGCTTTAAGAAATCAGACTGAAAAACTTAAAAAGAAATCAAAATCAAAAGTTTTATTACCAAGAGCTAAAAAAATTTCAAAGAAACAATTAACAGAAATTAAAGAAACTGGTGTTACTGCTTTATCAAAACCAGTAGTTACTTCTTCAGGTGTCGTTGGAGCAACTACAACAACTACAAATAAAAGAAAGAAAACTGAAGATAAAACACCTCCTACAACAGCCACAGCAACAACAAATACAATTGATTCTTATTTCTCTAAAGAACCAACCAGCACAAGCTCAACAAACCCATTCACCACTACTAATACTGCTACCTCTGCCACCACTTCTAAAACACCATCTACTGGAACAACTACCTCTACACCAATATCATTAGATGATTCATTTGATGATCTTCCAACAACAACTCTTTCAAAGAAACCATCACCACCACTTGGCGGCAAGAAGAGTGCTCCTAAAAAGAAAACCAGTGTTTTATCAGACGATTCTGAAGATGAACATAAACCAAAGAAATTAAAAACAACTCGTACCACAAAGAAAGCTGCTGCCAAAAAACCATCAAAGAAATCAAAAGACTCATCAGATGAAGAAGGTGACGATTTCCTTAGTGACGACGATGATGATAATGCTCCACCACCAATTAGCCGTCCCGGTAGAACAAGACCAACCCAAATCAAATTACCATTTTTAGATAGTGATTCAGGTGAGGATTCAATGTCTGATTAAAAAAAAAAAAAAAATTAAATAACATTAATTTTATTAAAAAAAACTGTTAACAATAATAACAAATACAATATAATAATTTATAGTTTCTTTATAATTTCATTAAATATAAAAGTTTAATAAATTTCATTTTAAAAAAAAAAAAATATTAATATAAAACTATATAAGATTCTTTATAAAATAATAGTTTTACATATTGTTATTTTTAATCGATAATTTTCTTTTATTATTTTAAATTTTTTATTTTTGTTCTTTAGATTTATTTAAAGTCAAATTATTATTGAATTGAAAAAATTGTAAATTATTTTTTTATTATTTTTTTTAATCTATTATTTTAAAAATGACAATATATTGTTTACAAATAATTTTTAAAACTACATTTATATTCTATTGATCATCAATATCGATATTTTAAAACAATAATAATATAACCATAATGGCTGTATCATCATACCAAATATACTTTTTCAAAAAATATAATTAAATTTTTTTATAATTATTAATATTAACTTTTTCATCATTACTATTACATTTTTTAATTTGTTGTTTTATCATTAACTTTATTTTTTATAATAAAAATATTTTATTACAATAAATAAAAAATTAATATTATATTTTTTTTTATTATTATGTATTATTTCCTAACTATTATTTGTATATAATAATAAATACAATTATTTAAAAATCAAATAATCAAAATTAATAAATTATTTGTTAAAACTCACTTAAAAACATAGGATATATTTCTTTCTTGGATTAGCTGAAATCAAAGAAAGGGTGCGTGATGACTATGTTGATGTTGCATCATATTAAAATATAACATCAAACACTAAACAGAAAATATCCCATTACATAATTATCTTTACAAACTACCACACTAATCAAATTTAAAATTTTTTAATTAAACATTCACACACCACATTACCACACTCTACCACACACTTACAAACAATTAAACACAAATTTAAAAATATAAACTTACTCACTCACACAAAAAATATACCCACATGTGCATATTATTGTATATTTGAAAGAATAGTTTCTTTTTTTATAATATAAAATAAAAAAATTAAAATGAACACTTATAATAAATTTGAAAATGAAAAAAAACTTCTATAATAGAAAAATAATATTGTGTGATTTTAAAATATAAAACTCATTATGGGCTTCTATTATTTTTTTTTTTTATTTGTTAAGAAATAATTATAACCACACATTTTTATACCCCCCACAAATAAAAATTAAAAAACAAATTTTTACCCACCAGACTATATCATTACATAATCAAATTCATCAAAATTAATAAACAAATATTTTTATTAAATACATAAAACCCATATAATGCATATAAAATATTAATATTATTAATCATACAGTAGAGATAGTTTCGATGTTTTTAACAAGGAAATATGATAAATAACAATAAAAACTTGGTTTTTTTTTACAGGTTAAATGACATATTGGTCTGGATTATATAATACTATGTATTAATATATGAACAACCAAGACAATAATAAAAAATTGCCATTATCTACATATATCTAAATATAGAAAAAAGAAATTAAAAAAAAAAAAAAAAAAAAATAAATCAATTAAAAAAATTCAATTTGATTAATATTATTTTATTTAAATTGAAAAAGGAAAAGATTATCTAAACATATTCTAGTTTTTAAAATTACATAATAAGGTGCAAGCGGTATCAATCATACTGCGTTATATTATTATTAATATAAACTCTTTTATCCCAAATCAACCAATACCAATCAATAACATTATCATTCTAATTATATTTTCTTTCTAATTTAATAACTATTGTTCAATCTACTGACAAATACTGCTCATTCCAATTTTTTTTTTTTTTTTTTTTTAAAATTAAAAATCAAACTATTTGTTATAAAAAAAATATAAATAGTTTAAAAAAAATATTTATTAAATCATTTTAAAAACATTAAAAAATAATTATTTAATAAATAAAATTATTTAATATATTATTTTTTATTTAAAATATTTTTATATATATTTTCATTTTCCAAAACCACAATCCTAATTTCTTTTTTAATTTTTTTTTTATATTATTTATTTATTCTTTTAATTTATTTTATTTATTTAAAATAAAAGAAACTACAACTAAAACATTATTTTTTTAAAACAATGTTATTAAAAAAATTATTTATTTTATTACTTTTAATAAGTGCCATATGTTTAACCAATGGTTTGTACCCCATTTAGAAAAAAAAAGTTTTTATTAATATTTACTAACATAAAATTATTATAGCTGAAGGCTTAAACGAAGACACTGTTTGTACATGCGATGAAAATTGCAATGATAACAATAAATGTACTCTTGATAAATGTGAAAACGGTTGCTGCAAAAACACCCCAATTACCTGTGATGATAAAAACCCATGCACTTTAGACTCCTGTGATTGTGACCATGGTTGTGTTTTCAAACCAATGTCATGTGATGATCATAATGCATGTACTACTGACTCATGTGGTCCAAACGGTTGTATCCATACCCCAATGGCCTGTGATGATCATAATGCTTGCACTGTAGATTCATGCTCAAATTCTACCGGTTGTTGCCATACCCCATTATCATGTGATGATCATAATCCATGCACTGTAGATTCATGCTCAAACTCTACTGGTTGCTGTCATACCCCAATTGCTTGTGATGATCATAATGCCTGTACTGCTGATTCTTGTGGACCAAATGGTTGCATTCACACCCCAATTGCCTGTGATGATAACAATGCCTGTACCGTAGATTCATGTTCAAACTCCACTGGTTGTTGCCATACTCCATTATCATGTGATGATCACAACCCATGCACTGTAGATTCATGTTCAAACTCCACTGGTTGTTGCCATACTCCAATTGCTTGTGATGATCATAATGCCTGTACTGCTGACTCATGTGGTCCAAACGGTTGCATCCATACCCCAATTGCCTGTGATGATAAAAATGCCTGTACCGTAGATTCATGTTCAAACTCCACTGGTTGTTGCCATACCCCAATTGTCTGTGATGATCATAATGCTTGCACTGTAGATTCATGTTCAAATTCCACTGGTTGTTGCCACACTCCATTATCATGTGATGATCATAATCCATGTACCATTGATTCATGCTCAAACTCTACTGGTTGTGTCCATACTCCATTATCATGTGACGATCATAATGCCTGTACTGCTGACTCATGTGGTCCAAACGGTTGCGTCCATACCCCAATTGCCTGTGATGATAAAAATGCCTGTACCGTAGATTCATGTTCAAACTCCACTGGTTGTTGCCACACTCCATTATCATGTGATGATCACAACCCATGCACTGTAGATTCATGTTCAAATTCCACTGGTTGTTGCCATACCCCAATTTCATGTGATGATCACAATGCCTGTACCATTGATTCATGTGGTCCAAATGGTTGTTGCCACGAACCAATTTCATGTGATGATAAAAACCCATGTACCATTGACTCATGCTCAAACTCCACTGGTTGTATCCATACCCCAATGTCCTGTGATGATAATAACCCATGTACTGCTGATGCATGCACCTGGGCCAAAGGTTGTACCCATACCCCATTAACCTGTGATGATAAAAATGCCTGTACCGTTGATTCATGTTCAAATTCTACTGGATGTTGCCATACCCCATTAGCCTGTGATGACCATAACCCATGCACCATCGATTCATGTAATAACTCCACTGGTTGTTGCCATATCCCAATCTCATGTGATGATCACAATGCCTGTACCATTGATTCATGTGGTCCAACTGGTTGTTGCCACACTCCATTATCATGTGATGACCATAACTCATGCACTTTAGATTCATGCTCAAATTCAACTGGTTGTGTCCATACCCCAATTGCCTGTGATGATCACAACGCCTGTACCGTAGATTCATGTTCAAACTCCACTGGTTGTTGTCATACTCCATTAGCATGTGATGATCATAACCCATGTACTGTTGATTCATGTTCAAACTCCACTGGTTGTGTCCATACCCCAATTGCCTGTGACGATAATAACAAATGTACCGTAGATTCATGTGGTCCAACTGGTTGTTGCCATACCCCATTATCATGTGATGATCATAACCCATGCACTGTAGATTCCTGCAATAATTCAACAGGTTGTTGCCACACTCCATTATCATGTGATGATCATAATCCATGCACTTTAGATTCATGTGGTCCAAATGGTTGTATCCACACTCCAATGGGATGTGATGATAACAATGCCTGTACTGCTGACTCATGTGGTCCAACTGGTTGTTGCCATACCCCAATTGCCTGTGATGATAAAAACCCATGTACCGTAGATTCATGTTCAAACTCAACTGGTTGCATCCATACTCCATTAGCATGTGATGATAACAATAAATGTACCTTTGATAGCTGTTGTGACGGTAAATGTGAACATAAACCACTTGACTGTGATGACCATGATCCATGCACTATTGATTCCTGCGATTGCAACTTAGGCTGTGTTCATAAACAAGTTGTTTGTGATGATGGCAATTCAAGAACTTGTGACTACTGCAGCAGAAAAGCAGGTGGTAAATGCATAAGTATTCCATATGCATCATGCAAAAATGGTAAATGTGGTGATGATATGTAAAAATCACCAACAATTTAAATTTTATATATACAAATAATAACTATTTAAACATTAGAATCAATATTATTTAATAAACTTTTTATACATAATTAAAAAAAATAAATCTTTTTTATTTAAATAATTTATATATTTATTTTATATTTTTTTAAAAATTTGGTTTTATTGTAAAAGCTGGTCAAACTTGCGCAAAATTTGTAATATTTTTCTGGATCATTAGAATGAATTAATTTTGATTTACCTCTTTTACCTTTGGGGCACTGGGCGAATCTATGTCCTTTCTCTTGGTAATCATAGCATTTATGCCTTTCACTCTTCAAAAACTCCTTAGTCTCAGTAGCCGATTCACTCTGAGATGACTTGAATTGTTTTGGAGTTCTTTGAAACTTTCTACGATTTTCTCAAATATGCTAAACCATTCATCAATATCTGACTCTTCTATGTCACTATTTACATAGCTCTCGTTAATCTTTTCATTAAATTCGATACCAAATTCAAGCGACAAATAATTACATATGAATATAGCTTTTGGATGGATGGTCTGTTCCCTGAATAGAACCATACTTTCCCTGAGTACTCTAATGAGATTGTGGTACCATTTACCCTCGTCATTAACTCTAGATTTGGTTTTCTCAAGTTTATTATCAACTGCTTCACGACCTTCGACTTCGTCATCATGATTTTGCACATTCCTGACCATTCTAGATTATTACCTTTATATAGAATGGAGAGAATTTGCAGATAAATTAGATCAATTAATAATGTTCTTTACTGAGAAAGTAAATGGGTAAAGATTTTAAGAGGTTTAGAAGATCCTCTAATGATTTATTTAGTACATTCGAGGATGTAGGTTGGTTAGCTCCACAAATAAAAAATTTAATAAAATGGAAATCCTTTTTTTTCTTTTTTTTATTATTATTTCGTGTTTGTTGTTTAAAAAATTGAATGATGAGGAATATGAAACTTAAAAAAACAAAACAAAAAAATATATAAATTTTTAAAATCATCAATAATATAAAAAAAAAAAAAAAAATATTTAATTTATTTATTTTTCTAAAATTATAAAGTATTTTCTTTATATTATTCATCACTAAAATGTAATTTTTATTTTCATTAATCCTTTTCATAATACTCTTCTTTGATAGTTTCTTAATTGGTTTCTTATTCTTTTTGAAATTTTCTTGTTTAATTTCTTCAACTTCTTGTTTAACTTCTTATTAACAATATTATTCTTATTTGTTATACTTGAATCTCTAATTGATATAATAATTTCAAAATATATTTGATAAAATAACCATTGTGACAATTTCTTTAATTTGATCAATAGTTCCTTTTTCTTCATCCAAAAAAAATTTGAGATCTACTATAGTTGCTTGGCCAGAGAAAATATAATATTCATCAAATTGCTGATTGGAATGATTTGGACTTTATTAATTTAATCTTTATTTGTTTTAAAATTGGATCTTAGTTATTATTTATGTTAATTGTTGAAGAGCATATTTGAAAGGTAATTCGGTACTGATAAGTACTCCAAAAATTTGAATGTTTATGATGATGTTATATATATTCTATTTTATCTTAGTTATTTCTATATATATGGGCTGTTGTTTTTGGTTCTATGATTATTTACTTTGTTTGAGTTTTTAAATATTTTAAATTGTTTTTTTTGTTTCTAATATAGTTTATCTATTGAATGTTATTAAAATGTATATAAAAAAATTGAAAATATAAATACAATAAAAGTACAGTTATTTATTTTTATAGAAAAATAAATGATATTGAGGTTGATTATAAATGAAATTGGTTATTTTTGAGCGCTGTTGATTTAGATTAAAAATAATTCTTTATGCATTGTGCCTTTTGACCGATTCTCCATACCATAATGCTTGTTCACCTGTGAAACTGCTACGTGCCTCTATTCAAAATGTTGACGATATTATAAGATTGTGGGGGTGGAGTAAATGATGGTTGTTCACCCATGAAGTTTTAGCGTGCCCCTGATTCAAAATGTTGAATAATAACCATTTTGAAAATTTTGTTGTGGCTGGTAATATGGTGATTGGTGAACTGATGGGTTATTGTATGTATGGGTATATTGTGGATATAAAGGGGCATATTGTGGAGGTGTGTTACTATATGGATAGGTAATATCTATTAATTTCGAATTGATATATGGTGATAGGTGAAGTGGTGGGTCAAAATATGGACTCTTAACAGGTTTTGGACGTTGGTAGGGGGGGGAAGATCTTATAAAAGGCCTTGGGGTAACAAAATAAGTTTGTTGTCCAATATCAACATAAATTTCATGTGGTGCTTTGAGATAACGTGATACATGATTTCCTGTACGTGGTCTTGGAGAACTATTGATTGGAGGCATTACATATTTAAGGTATAACCAAAGCATGGCCCAAATGGATAAAATTGAAAGAAGTAAACCTAAAACCAAAATCATTTTTGAAAAAAATAATAATAAAAAGCTGTGTGAAAAAACTGGACTAAAATGGACTAAACTGGACTAGACTTGTATGGACTTAGCAGGAATAAGCGGAACAGAATAGACTGATTGGAAAATGGAAGCTTGAGTTTGACTTTGTTTGCTTTAATTTTAAAATAATTTTTTTTTTTTAAAGTTTTGAATATAATTCAATTAATTTAATATTGAGTATGGGATAAATAAAAAATTATTGATAAATATATAATTAATAAAATATAAAAAATTAAAAAAAATAAAATTCAAATTTTTGTAAAAATTAAAATTAAAAAGGTTCTGTTTAGATGGTTATTTGAAAATTAAAAAAAATTTTAATTTTTTTTTTTTGAACATATTTTAATTTTTTCTAATTTTAAATTGAGCATTTTGATTAAATATTTTATTTTATATGAAAAATTCATTAAATTTGGATTAAAATGATATATAAAACACCTATTAAACTTTTTCATTTTAAAAAGATAATAATGATTATTTTATATAGATTTAATTAAGTTTTATTTATTTAGACTCTAATTTTCAAAAAAAAAGTATTTTCTTACTCATCAGACATGGTAATATAACAATTGTACAGAAAAGAAAAGAAAAGAAAATATAATTACAGATGGAAACCAAGTTATTTTATGCGATAATGAAGGAATGCCAAGAAGATGCGGTGGTCAAGGTGATATTTTAGCAAGAGCTATTGGTACTATGTTTGTTTGGTCACAACTATAAAGATAACAATAACAATAGTGATAAAGTCCAAGAAAATGAACAACCATACCCGTCTTTTGCTGCCTGTTGATTACTCAGACATTCTTCAAAGAAAGCATTCGAAAAAACAAACGTTCAACTATTACTCAAGATATTATAAAAAATAAATTCCAAAATGTTTTGAAGAATTATTCCATGAACCATCTTTTTATTATTATTTACAAATTTACTTTTACTTTATTTATTTTTTTTAATACATATTCTTTGATAACCACTCTAAACCTTCATAAGCACCTTCTCCATTTATAGCACATAACTTTTGAATATACCATTTTCTTTCTTTACAATTTTCTAATTCTAATGCCTCTATTATTTCTTCTAAAGATAAACAACCTTTAATATCTTGTTTATTTGCCAATATTAAAAATGGAGTTTTTTTTAGTTCTTCGTGGCTTCTTAAATAATCCATTGATTCCTTTACTTCTCCTAATCTTTCACGGTCATTTGAATCAATTAGAAAGATCAATCCATTGGAATTATAAAAATAATGTCTCCAAAGATCACGAATTTTAGTTTGACCTCCAATATCCCAAATCATCATTGATACTTTTTTATGTGTTATACTTTCAACATTAAAGCCAATTGTCGGTATTGTAGATATTTCTTCTCCAATCTTTAATCTATATAAAAGAGTAGTTTTACCAGCACCATCTAAACCAAGCATTAAAATTCTGCTATCTCTACCACTAAATAGTTTTAAATAGTCAAAAAAGAAATTATAAATTGCTTTAAACATTTTTTTATTTTATTTTTATATTATTATATATTACTATATTTTATAATATTATTATTATAAATTATTATTTAAAAAATTGAATTTAATTTTTATATTTATATTAATTTTTTAAAATTTATATTTTATTTTTCTTGTATTTTATAAGTGGTATTGTTTTGTTGTTAAATTGCATGTATGATAAAAAGATAAAAATAAACTAAAAAATTAATAAAATTTTGCGTGGTTATTCCCCAAATTTTTCTTAATTTTTTTTTTAATTTATTGAAAAAAATAAAATAAAAAAAAAAAATTGTAAAAACTGGTCAAGTTTGCACAAAATTTCTAATAATGCCCTAATGTCCGATCATGACTCTTTTTTTTATTTCAAAATTAAAATGGAGAAAAAAAAAAATTTTATTTTATATATTTTATTTATTTGATATAAATTCTTGCGCTAAATTTTCCAATATAAAAATCCCAAAAAAAAAAAAAAAAAAAAAAAAAAAAAAAAGTTATAAAGAAATAATTATTTGTTTATTTAAAATAATTTTTTAATTTTTCGTCAACTATAGAAAAATGGTCTTGTTTGTATTCGTTATAGTCTTTTTTTGAAATTGAAATATATTTTAATAGTAATTGAGTTACTTCAATATAGTCCATATTAATTGAGGTATGTAATATATATTTGAATGTATCTAAAATTGAAATTTTATTTGTTATTGATTTTTTATTAAATAATTGGCTGTACTTTAATGCTATTAGATTTGCAACTCTTAAATCCCCCATTCCTAAACATTTTTGCAAAAAGTAAGATATAATCTCTTTGTTATCCTCAGATAACCCATTTTTTAAAGTGTGATTTAAAAATTGATCTAAAAATTCGAGTGATGTTGGATAACTTTTTATATATCCATATTCAAAGTTTATAATTTGAAATATTCGATCGTATCTTCCTAATGTATAAAGCAATTCGATATATAACCAATTTGAAATTCGAAACAATACGAATTGGCCACCACTACTTTTGACTTTTAACTCTACACCATATTGATCAGTATTATCGATATGTATTGGTAATGCTGATGCTATATTTTCAAAAAACCAATATACCAATTCTTTATTTAGTACCGTTATATATTTAGTATCTTGAAAACATGAAAAGTATTTAACCTTATTTGATTTTATTAATTCGATTGCTCTTTGATTTAGTTCAGGTGTTGAACCCTGATCCAAAAAAAATGAATCGCACTCTAGTTCCCCATATTTTTCTAAACTATATGCTGCTGGATTAACTAATGCCCTATAATATATTTGAAATTTTGGTATACTTGGCTTGGTACTTTTAAAGAAAAAATCA